AAAGTTGCTACGGTCTACATTTAAAGCTCAATACTTTGAATATTATCAGCAATTCTTTATTTCCACAATAAACCATTATTATTTATTTCACAGATCTTCAAAAAATAATGAATTTTCAAAATGTCACAAAAGAGTGTTGCACTTCTAACATTTTTAGTTTCATTTTGGGCATATTTTTTTTAATTTATCTTCTTTTTTTTGTCAATTGAGATATCAGTGAGATATTTGGCAGGTATACAAACACTATCTAAAGACATATGCTGACACATAGAAATTTATTCCCATTGTCTGTACTTTTAGTTCAGGTTGATAAATATGTGTTTGTCTTTTTCTTCTTCTTAAATTCACCCATAATACATGTATATAGAGAAAAAAATCTTTATAACAGCAAGACCATGATAGTCACGTTGATATTGAAGCATCTATATGATATTTAGATTCAACTTTGGAATAACATGACCCATGGAGCAAGGTTCCACAATGGGTTCAAACTTTTTCATGTAAACAGGAAGAAAAGAAAATCTTCTGAGAAAGAAAACAAAGGCCAGATTGACTCAGGTGACGTTGTGATCTATGGGCCTTTCGTTTTTAAATGTTATTGCATTTTAAACTCCAAAGATTTTTTTTCAGAACATCAATGGTTACTGTCTTCCATATGAAAGTGATTACACTGACGGATACCAATCAATTTGCAAAAAAGCATGTCCACATGACACTGTGCTTCACCGAGGCCATTGTATAAACGAGTGTCCTGATGTCAGTAAAGTCTTATCTAACGGAATGATGCGATACTGCAACATGTCGGATGACATTCCATGCACGAAATCTTTGTGTTCATCACATTTTCCATTCTGTTATGAAACCAATTGCCTTAAATCTTGTCCTGAATTCACCGTTGCTTTAAACGGGGTTTGTCTGATGCGATGCCCTTTAGATGCACCTTATTTAACAACTCCGAATTGTGAAGGTTTGTGCTTACAAGGGGAAAAATTCTGTAACTCTGTCTGCTCTACTAACAAACCATACACCTTGAACACAGGTCATTTTATTCACTGTCTGAAAGAGTGTCCAGATTTCACTCGAAGGAATGGGACTTTTTGTGATTTATCATGCCCACAGAACCTTCCTTTTCTGTTTAATAGGACCTGTTTCTCCATGTGTCCGAAGTTTTCAAATTACGTGATTCTAAAGAGAACGAAGTATAACTCAATTTTGTCCTGTATAGAGGAGTGTCCCTCTGATATGGTTAATGACAATAATATCTGTGTTAAGTTTTGTCCACCTGGAAAACATCTATTCAACAATACTTGTGTTACAGAATGTCCAAATACTTATCCGTGTACTTACCCTAGAGAATTTAAATTTATACCAAATATAAAGAATTTTGGAAAAGCAGAATTTATGTGCGTAGTTTCTTGTACTAAATCGGATGTGACTTACAAAAGGACAAATTTTACATGTGTCGTTCAGTGCAGGGAGCCAGTTAAATACAACTTGAATGGTGTGTGCGTGGAAGTGTGTCCATCAAATCAATTCTTCGTGGATATGCAGACATTTGACTGTTTGTCTCAGTGCCAGTCTCATCATCACCAACATGGTAACTTCTGTACAACCAATTGTCCAGATAAAGCAAATAAACGTTATAATGGTTCCTGTGTGGACCAGTGCCCAGAAGAAGCAATCTTTGAGCAATCATTGTCAAACACAGATGACTTTGACTGTGTTCCATCATGTAGGAAATTTTATTTTAAACAAAGATGCGTTGAGAATTGTCTCTCTACTGCAAAATTTATTTTGAATGTAACATGTGTAACAGAATGCACAACAGAAGTTCCTTATGTTAATATCATTCATTCAGAAGAAAGGAACTATCCATATACTGAATATGAATACATGTATTGTGTTGAAAATTGTCCATCCGACCATTTTTTCCACAACAATATATGTGTTAAATCCTGCCCAAGTGATGCCAAGTTTATACAAAATTCTACCTTTGTTTCTGAGTGTTCTCTTGACAATCCTTACATTCTCATCAATTATACGGAAACCAGAAATTCGTACTGGCGAGGAACTAAAATAGAAAATAGATTTTGTTTGGAAGATTGTCCCAAATCTTATGTCACGAATGGAAATTTTTGTGTAACGTCTTGCCCAAAAGACAAAGTTTTATTTGAGAAGACCTGCTTGGAAGAATGTCCACATTCAAATCCTTTAATATATATTGAAAATATAACAATGAAAACGGTAAATCCACATGTGTGAGCTCCTGTCCTAAAGGAACACATAGCTGGCACGACAAATGCTATGATCACTGTCCGCTCCCTTTTGGGACATTTCTATGGAATTGTACCGACATCTGCCCTTCATCGCATTTTTTGAGGGAAAATCAGACCATAGTTATTGGAAACCATAATTTTTACTATGGTCCAGAAATGATAATTGTAAACTGTGTTGATAAATGCACTAGATTTAAAGTATCCCAAAACAACACATGTCAGAACAGATGCGTTTTTCCCAAGCTATACATTGACAAAAGTGTATGTGTAGAGAAATGTCCTGATGAACATCATTATTTTGAAAGCGCTCCAGAGGGAAAGCGATGCCACATCAGATGTCCACGTAACTTGTTCTATTTGGAGGGAACATTTCAATGTGTGCAAAACTGTGAGACACCATATCTTATCGTAGACAACAAGTGTCGAAACATCAGAGCATGTCCTAACCATGCTTTGACTGAACATACAAATCGTGGAGTGAGGTGTACCAACAAATGTTCTCCTAGATTCTTTCTCGATGGTACCAAATGTTTGGAAGCGTGTCCTCGTCATAAAGTAATTGTTGAAAACATATGTGCGGAACATTGCCCTTTCACACATCCTTATGAATATAAAAACGATCGAATTTATTGTAAGAGCATTTGTCCAAAGGATTTTGTAGCGAATAAAACATCTAAAATATGTATATCAAGTGAGGACTGTCATAGAGCGAGTATGTTCTCTTTCTACCACGTTTGCCATGACTCTTGTCCCTTTTTCACGTATTACAATGACGATGGGACTTGTTCATCCTCGTTTAATTTTGTGTTTACAGGCTCTGTTATGTATTTAATGTCAACGATTAATCTCTTCGTTCTCTATTTGTTATTTTGTTATTCCCCACAGCAGGCAAAAGGAAAATACACACAAAAAGTAAGTGCACATTAATGCATAACTCTTTTTCGTACCCCAACACATTTTGCTAGTATATGATATGTTAATTAAAAATTTTGCGGTCTGATTTGTAACTTGGGAGTATTTTTTATTCAAAAGCAATGATTAACGTTTAATTCTGAAAATTTATTACACAGGATCACATGGAAAGTGAGGAAGATAGTTTAATGGATGATTCTCCAAACAGTGATTAATAACGGAAGAAAATGTTTTTAACAGAAAAATGAAGAAATTGACTGTCGATGATGCTAAAGTCATCGAATTTAGAATATTCCTGTGAATAAACACTTCTTTAACGTTGTGTAAATTAAAGACAATAAGGTAATGATGAATGTTGAGTCACCAGAGAAGAAAGTGAATTCGAAGAACACCTTCAGAACGTCATTGTAGAAAAAGAACAAATAAAAAGAAATTGTTTTACAGTCGACATTGTCTTCATTGAAGTGTTTGCGGTGCATGTGCACCAAAATTTATGTCTCAGCTTTTTAACTCACCTGAGCAGAGGGTCTGATCAAAATTTGTCTGTCGTTGTTGTCATAAATTTCATTTTTTTTTCTTCATAACCACCAGCCCAATTTCAACCAAATTTGGCACAGAGTAGTCTTGGGTACATATGTAAGTGGGATTCAAGTTTGTTAAATTGGAGGACCACATTTTCTTACAAGGGGAGATGATTAAGATATAGTAAAAATTGGGAGGGGTCATATGAAAATCTTCTTCTCAAGAACCACTGGTACAGAAAAGACGAAACTTATGTGAAAGCTTCCTGACAGTGTAGATTTAAATTTGTTCAAATCAGGAGCCCAGGGGATAGGGTGTTGCCACTATAGGTGATCAAAGTTTAACATAGTTATAAATAGGAAAAATCTTTTAAAAAAATCTTCTTCTCAAGAACAGCAAAGCAATGATCAGTCATATTTATTTGGAAGCATCTACGGGTAGTATAATTCAAGTTTGTTCAGATCTTGACCCACGGGGGTAGAGTTGGGCCACAAAGTTTTACCTAACAATAATCTTTAAAAATCTTATTCTCTAGAACAACAAAGCCATGGTTAGTCATATTTATATGGAAGCATCCTCAGGATGACCCCCAGGGGTAGGGTGTGGCCACTGTGGGCGTTCAAAGTTTTACATATGAATACATAGGAAAAATCTTTTTCTCTAGAACAACAAAGCCATGGTTAGTTATATTTATATGGAAGCATCCTCAGGTAGTGTAGATTCAAATTTGTTAAAATCATTACCCCCTGGGATAAGGCTGGGCTACAATGGGAGATCAGTTTTACATGGTTATATAGAAGAAAAATCTATTTCTAGAGAACAGCAAAGCCGTGATTATTCATTTTTATTTGGAAGCACTTGGTGTAGTGTATTTTCAAGTTTGTTCAAATCATGACCCACGGGGGTAGGGTGGTGCCACAATGGGCGGTTTTACATAGGAATATATAGGAAAAAGAATGCTGATGAAAAACAAGAAAGGCCACAGTCACTAAGGTTAGCGTGGTTGCCCATGGGCCTCTTGTTAATTCTGTTTTTGTGGGAAAGCAGGCTCAAGCAAGTGTTGGTATTTTAAAAACTGTTAACAGGTGACAATTTCATGTTTACATAAGAAACTTTTTGTCCGATTTTGAAATCTTTTTTCCATGTAGGCAACCATTTGCCTAATGATATTGAAATATTTTCTCTTCCATGTAGGCGACTGTAATGGTGTCCAGTAGGCCACACTCTTTTTCGGGAATATGTTAAGATAAATGTCTTTGTATTTTTTGCATTTAACACATTTCACAGTTGAAAATGTTTTTATTTATTCCACATGTAGAATAATTCAAATTACAGTATACATAAATTATATATATACATGAATGAATGAATGTCTCTTTATATATTATAAATTACAAATATCACAGTCAGTGGTAAAAAATAATCACATTCTTTTTAGTTCAATCCAATCCACACTATCTTCATATCAAACTTAAATGCATTTTAATTAATTAATAAGGATGGAAGTGTCTGTACAGTAGTTATCCTATATCTAGTGATCATCTGATGTAGGAAGAGACATTCGGAGCATTCCCAACTGAAAGAAAGAAAAACAGGTATCAATAAATGTAACAAACAATCAACATTTGTATACTTATCCTTAAACTTTATTTTTCACACATTATTATACTGATACCAGAGAAAATTTGTGAACTATTATACATTTTAGGTCCATATAGTAGGATTAATACTGTCTCAATTTACTGTAAAAAGCTATTAAATCCTTCATTAATCCAAAGTGTAAAATATATATTGTTACTTTTTACAATTCACTCACTCCTAACATTATATATGGTTTTGAGTAATGACACCATTACCTCCTAGTGGTGTTTTTCTGGGTCTGATGATGCCTGTGGTAGCCGGAGGTTTAGTGGATATTAGTTTAGCTCCCTTTGATTTACCTCCCTTTGGACTATTGGGACTTCTGTGGTCGTACTCATAGGCAGTCAAGACAGGTAAACGAGGGTTAAGGAAAAAACATCTCATAAAAAATATGGTAGCAGTTTGGCTCATGGTAGAATGTTAATGCAGACTAATACTTTTAATTCTGCAAAACAAGAACTGACATACATGTACTTCAGTGTATATATATCTGACATTCCTATGTAAATCCTTGGTCTATTCAGAGTGTAGAAGTAATTATACCAAAAAATGATATGTAAAAATTAATTTTTCAGCTATATTCTTCTTGCAGCTTTTTTTTATCTGTATTGAATAAAAAGCTCTGATTTTCATGAAAAGTTGCATTATATATTTGTGTTTGTAACAAAAAAGGATATTTGCTGAGATTGGTAGAAATAAGACATCAGTCTGTGTGACAATTTCCAAGTCGTGACGGACTGAGCCAACGCCCATCTCTCCCTCGACTCCCACAGCTATAGCATACAGTTCTACATTCAGCTCCACACTCATTCCAGCAGCAATCTGTATAGAAATCAATTAAAAAGAGTTTTACTTCATATATAATATTCAAATGTACATGAAAAACAGATGGAAATGCCCTTGTTTTATTCTAGAAAGGAATATTTTAGTCCTATAAGCTTTAAAATTCAGTAAACCAACAGGTTGTTGAAGTATCTTTAGCTGCATTTGAACAAAAAATAATTTATTGTCAAAATGTTAAACATCAACTTTTCTGATCAGTGAAGTAAACTCATTAAAAAATCTACAACATGTATCAACATTTAAAACAAACATACTGGTCCTGGTTTGTAGACAATTCTGAGTCCAGTAGCTGGGGGAGGCTGTTTGATCCTGAATCTACAGGAGTCTACCCCCGTGTTCTTCAGGTAAACAGTGTAGCAGTAGGTACACCCCTCCTTCAGGACCCCAAACTCCACCTCCTCAGGAAATAGGATAAGACCACTCATGTGGGAAAGCTGGTTTTGTCCCTTTATGGAGGCCCCAGCTACCAGAGATGTGTTGACTTTCCTCCTTACTGGTTCCTCAACAGAAATATACTGCAAAGATCGAGAGTATACTGTGTGTAGCACTAAAAATCCATGTATAAGATTAAATGGCCTGTATAACATCTATACATAAATGTGTCTTTCATTAACTGTTGGTTTTCATATTTTTGATATTGATATTCAGCAGTCTGAATGCACTTTTACATGCAGAAGTATCTTTCTCAAAAAATTAACCTTGTCCAATTTACTGAGAATAAAAAAGTTTTCATGAAATACACTTTTTTTTCTTATTCAGGGTGTTTAATTACATAAAATCTTGATGTGAAAAGATGTCCCTTGCCTCACATCTTGCTTAAGATTTTTTCCCTTACATATTCACTTCAGGTTTACTCTAGATTTTGTCGGTACATTTATCTTAAACCTATTGGATAACAGTCTAAACAGGTAGTTAATGTACATGAGAAGGGTACCAACCTTGATATTTGGAATAGCTCCTGGTCGCCCTCCTTTAATTCCAGCTGGCAAGGGCACACGGTTTTTCCTTGGTTGACCTAAAACATTGACCTTCAGACTTCTGGTCAAGGTCAGCTGTTCATTGTCAACTTCATCCTCTCCTGAAATATAAATATGATTTATTTTGCAACCCTTACAATTTGTAAATATTAAACAAATATTATCTCCTAGAATTTTCTTGTGTTTAATTTTTAAAACATACCCTCTTCCAGTTCCTCAAGAGGTTGTTCCATTATTATGGCAGGGTAGTCAAGTTGTGATGGTAGGTCTGAGGGAGAGTCCATTCCACCTCCTGCATGTTTGGGTGTTGGATTAACTGAGCAGAAACAAGTTAAAATTCAACAAAATTCAATTGAATTCAGATTAACTTTATGTATCGCAATGTGGAATTGGACAATTTCACATCTATCAGCATTATATGAATCTTCCTAATATGACAATTATAAAAAAATAAAATCATCATAATTATTAATTATTAAAGTCCTCCTCATGACTGATAAAACTAGAACTGTCCAAAAGAGACAAAAACCCCTCGCTGGGTTTTTCAGAGAAGGTACCAAATCACTAATGTTTTCTAGATGTGAGAGGTGTTCACAATTTGCTAAAACATTTAGAGTGAAAATTTAATTACTCATTATATTTTTTTTTAATGAATGAAACTAAGGTGCAGCCTAATAAAACATCAATACTAGTAATTACAGTGTTTTTTATTACATTGAAAAAAAAATAGTTTGCAACTATCTGTCATCTTTGTGAGATATGACACTCTGCAAATTGATTGTTGAAAAAAAAAAATCATAATTAATTATACAAAATCAAATTGACCTTAATACCTTTATATCAAACTCATTTTAAAAATAAAAGGCTGGTTCCAGTAACTACGTATTTTGACAGACATAAATTACAATTAAGAGACTTAGACAACAGAGATCTGTATTTCTTTCTGCCCAATTCCCAGGAGATATAGGTATGACCTGCTTGATCAGAGATGCCCTAACAGCTTCCCACACTGAACTCATTAATTAATCTTTAACTGGATGCATGTCCACTCATTACTCCCAAGGGACAAATGGATAATTTACACTATCTGCTGTGTAATGTAAAAACTGTTTTAATACTTTGTGATTTTTTTTTAGTTCTAATGAGTAGTTTTAAGCTGTATTTCACATTTTTAGCTCACCTGAGCTGAAAGCTCAAGTGAGCTTTTCTGATCACATTTTGTCTGTAGTCCGTCTGTCTGTCTGTCTGTCTGTCCGTCCGTCTGTAAACTTTTCACATTTTCGACTTCTTCTCCAGAACCACTGGGCCAATTTCAACCAAACTTGCCACAAAGCATCCTTGGGTGAAGGGGGTTCAAGTTTGTTCAAATGAAGGGCCACGCCCTCTTCCAAGGGGAGATAATTAAGAATTGGTGAAAATTTGGTGTCATCTTTTAAAAATCTTCTTCTCAAGAACCATTGAGCCAGAAAAGTTTATACTTATGTGAAACCTTCATTACATAGTGTAGATTCAAGTTTGTTCAAATCATGACCCCCGGGGGTAGGGTGGGGCTACAATGGGGGATCAAAGTTTTACATAGGAATATATAGGGAAAATCTTTAAAAATCTTCTTCTCAAGAACAACAAAGCCACAATTAGTCATATTGATATGGAATCATCCTCAGGTAGTGTAGATTCAAGTTTGTTCAGATCATGACCCCCAGGGGTAGGTTGGGGCCACAATGGAGGATCAAAGTTTTACATAGGAATATATAGGGAAAATCTTTAAAAATCTTCTTCTCAAGAACAACAAAGCCACAATTAGTCATATTGATATGGAATCATCCTCAGGTAGCGTAGATTCAAGTTTGTTCAGATCATGACCCCCAGGGGTAGGTTGGGGCCACAATGGGGGATCAAAGTTTTACATAGGAATATATAGAGAAAATCTTTAAAAATCTTCTTCTCAAGAACAACAAAGCCACAATTAGTCATATTGATATGGAATCATCCTCAGGAAGTGTAGATTCAAATTTGTTCAAATCATGACCCCCGGGGGTAGGGTGGGGCTACAATGGGGGATCAAAGTTTTACATAGGAATATATAGGGAAAATCTTTAAAAATCTTCTTCTCAAGAACACAAAAGCCACAATTAGTCATATTGATATGGAATCATCCTCAGGTAGTGTAGATTCAAGTTTGTTCAGATCATGACCCCCAGGGGTAGGTTGGGGCCACAATGGGGGATCAGAGTTTTACATAGGAATATATAGAGAAAATCTTTAAAAATCTTCTTCTCAAGAACAACAAAGCCACAATTAGTCATATTGATATGGAATCATCCTCAGGTAGTGTAGATTCAAATTTGTTCAAATCATGACCCCCGGGGGTAGGGTGGGGCTACAATGGGGGATCAAAGTTTTACATAGGAATATATAGGGAAAATCTTTAAAAATCTTCTTCTCAAGAACAACAAAGCCACAATTAGTCATATTGATATGGAATCATCCTCAGGTAGCGTAGATTCAAGTTTGTTCAGATCATGACCCCCAGGGGTAGGTTGGGGCCACAATGAGGGATCAGAGTTTTATATAGGAATATATAGAAAAAAAATCTTCTTCTCAAGAACCACAGAGTCACAATTAGTCATATTGATATGGAATCATTCTCAGGTTGTGTAGATTCAAGTTTGTTCAAATCATGACCCCTGGGGGTAGGGTGGGGCTACAATGGGGGGATCAAATTTTTACATAGGAATATATAGGGAAATTCTTTAAAAATCTTCTTCTCAAGAACAACAAAGCCACAATTAGTCATATTGATATGGAATCATCCCCAAATATTGTAGATTCAAGCTTGTTCAAGGCATCCTCCAGCAGTAGGGTGGGGCCATAATGGGGGATCATAGTTTAACAAAAGATCATATACAGGAAATATCTTTAAAACTCTTCTTCATTCTCAAGAATAACAAAGCCATGATCAGTCATACTGATATGGAAGCATCCTCAGGTAGTGTACATTCAAGTTTGTTCAAATCATGCAATCATGAACCCCCCCCCAAGCAGGGTAGGGTGTTAGACATATCTAAAATTCTGTTTTAAAGAATAGCAAAATCATGATTAGTTATATGAAGATAGAAGCATCCTCAGAAGGTTTATATTCAATTTCATTCAGAACATGGCACCTTGGGGTAGGGTATGCCTAGAACAGGCGATTAAAGCTTTATGAATATATAGGAGAAATATAGAAGAAATCTGCTGACGAAGAACAGCAGGGCCATATTGACTCAGGTGAGCGTTGTGGCCCATGGGCCTCTTGTTGTACAGATGTTCTAGATTCTATGTCTCAAACCTTAGACATGAACCCGAAATGACTAAGTCAATAAAAATGAAAAAAAAAAAAACACCTTTAAAATGCAGAAAAATTATCAAATAATGTTGAAAATACCAGGTGCACATCTTCATATGGTAAATAATAAGTGCACAAATTTTCATACAAATCTATGCAATAGTCTCTGAGAACAGATCCGGACAAAACCACATAATAAAATTGAAAAAAACACCTGTAAAAGGCAAAAAAATTATCCAATCATGATGAAAATATCAGGTGCACACCTTCATATAGCAAAGAATAAGTGTACAAATTTTCAGACAAATCCTTGCAACAGTTTCCAAGAAATGGTCCGGACAAAATCTCGTCTACAGACAGACGGACAGACAGACAGACGGATAAGCTGATTCCAATATACCCCCCCCTAAACTTCGTTTGCAGGGGGTATAATTATTATAGTGATTATGTGATGTCATTTTGTTCACAAATTATGTACAGACAAATATCCATTTTTTAGTTATATTCTTACTTGGTCTTCCTGTCTTTTCCTTGCCAGCATGCACTGGGGTAGGATTTTGAGGTCGGATAGGAGCTGGTGACCCTTGACCCTCTGCGTGTGCTGGGGTAGGGTTACCAGGGCGTATCCCTCCACGAGAAGGTACCGTCTCGGTGTACACTACAAAATATAACAAAACACTTCAATACATTCAATCTAGTAAGAAAGTTATTCTTTATGATGTGATTGAAATAAGTTAAACAGTAGCTATTATCTCACCATTTACAACCAGGTATGTCGAGTCTATATAATGTATCATTTAAAAATTTGCATCAGTTATGATGTACAGTTATGATGTATGTGTACAAAGATACAAGAACATAATAAAATTCTGAGTATTATGATTTTGAGAGAAAATGTTCCATGTTTTGTTAATTCTTGTTTGGAAAAAAAGAGCTCAGCCCAGTCTCCATAATTCAATACAATGTGTAAAAATATAATTTAATAAAATATGTGAAAGCAGAAACTAGGAAAGCTTGTGCTGTTTGAATTCTAGCATCAACAATAAACAATTTTTCTACTTTTCTTCCATTTTAGAAATTGAGGGATTTTCAAAATTTGACTATTTCATGGCCAGAATCATGTCATTTGATATTTAAGAAAATATTAATTCATAGTAAAAATTATGTTACATTGTTGCGTATGTTTATGTGAATTGTTGAGTTTTTTATGTAGGAATATATAGTCTGTTTTAAAAATACTTATATTGTTCTAGGTTTGAATTAAATCAAGTAATAAATCTGAAAACTTTGGAATAAGATCTCATTAGTCATTTAGCACCAAAATAAAAATAGATTCAAGAATAACTTTGCATGCATCATTTAAAATAATGATACAAGCAAAAAATGAAAACCTATATAGATGCAAAATAAGATGTAACATACGTAATCTCAAGATGAGGAATAACTCAGAATAATAATCTAGAAGGATTGTCTCTTGTACACATGCAGTTATTGTGTGCCAAGTGGGGATTGTATAAAGTGAAAAAAATTATATGAAGTTGTTAGTTGATATTTAGGATATGGATATTTCAAAATACTGGTAACAGGGTAAAAAAAAAATTTTAGACTAAAAGTTGAACTAAAATATGACAGAAATGGCAGAGAAGGGAACTTAAGATACATAAGGAAAATAAACAAAGTAAATAAAAATGTTTCTTTTTCTTATACAAACCTCCTCTTAATTCATTATCTGTATTGCAAAAATAATAAAATTTAATCAAATCAGTTCAAAATGCCACATCTAAAGTTTAATCATATCCAATGCTACTGAAAATGTCTGGATTAATACATATCCTTATTTTACATCAATATCATGAAATCAAAAGCTGTTTGTCACTCCAGCACACATTGTGTGATATGTTCACAGATAAAGCAGTGATATCATCAAGCTGTTTACCTGCATAAGACAGAGGTGTGTCTGGTACATTTTTGGGGGGTAGAGTGTCCCCTGGGGATGTGCTTGACCTATCACTCTGGACTGAAGTCACCGCTGCCAGTGCTATAAAAAGATGACCATAAAGCCCCATATATTTGTGCATAAATGAAAGCAAAGCATGTGTACTTTAAAGCATATTGTCTAAATACATTTTCTTGAACCATTTTCTTGTACCATTCACTGTAAACAACTCATTGTTACTCATGCAAGTGCCTCAATATCTTGTGAAAATCATTCCAATTGAAATCATTTTGAAGCATGCTTGCACACATATTCATTTTTTTTTAATTCATCCATAGCATAAATACATCCTTAACCACAAGCTTAATATACACAGAGTGAAAAATATTTTACACAATTAGCTGAGCACTCTGAGACTATACATACATCTGGCCGGATAGGCGCTAGTGGGATAAGCACTAGTAACAGGACTCATCTGTTGTCCACTCTGCCCAGACAGCTGACCACGAACTGCCTCAGTCCCGTCCTTCCTGGGGTCCTCAGATAGCTCCCGTAATATCTCATCCACATCCTTTGCCTGAGTCAATAAGAAAGCTTTTCCAAACTCACTGTCAAAGTAACTGGGGATCTTTTTCTTTCTCAGGGCCTCTCTTCCTGTTAATTCCTCTGCTATCTCCCTTTGGTCTCGGTCCCAGTCAGCCTGGGTCCTCTTAGGCTGGGGTGTGGGAGGGGGACTTGGCACAGGTGGAGCTGTAGCTTTCTCATACAGTTCCTTTACATTTGCTAAATAATATTAAAATCACATTTAGTGATACATATGTGCATGAACTGGTGAGTTGATGTATAAATATATTGTTTACTGAAGATTCGTTAACATCATTGTGAACCTTTTTATTTTTTGTTATACATGTACATGTAATTATAAATAAAAAAGATTGAAAAAAATATACCGGTATATCTAAAAGTTAAAACCATTAAGAATGTTTCTTGTAGTTTCTATAAATTCTTTCACTTGTAATGTCCATGTAGACTGAAGTATTGTACATGCACAACACAATTATTGTAAAAAAAAAACTTTAGACAATGATATTCACCAGAAGCATAGTTCTTGTCTTTAGCCTGCTGCAGCCCTATTTCCTGGAGATCTGAAGCATTAATCTTCTCCTCTTCAGTTCTTGGATCCACCACTTTCATATAATCAGCCACCTTGTTCCTCTCTATGACATATTCTGCATACTCCCTAAGACCATTCTGTAACCTGGACCAAAGAAAAAGTTAAATTAGTCAGTTTTGTGTATCAAATATAGGTATTATTTATTTTTACCTCCATCAGGTTTTACCACTACAAAATACAATGGAATTTATTTCTTATCTCTTCAGATAAAAGACTGAAAACTTTTAAGTTACATGTATCTTAAAACTTCTTCTTACAAGTACATGTAACTCAGGAGATTGTACATGTACCAAGCATGTAACATCTATAATGAAGATGTCTTTTTTTTCTCCAGTAGATAAACATCTAACTTACTTTTCTCTGAGTGCAGGAGACACAGGTTTATACTGAATCATCTGTCGAAGCTCCAGCGTACTGGGACACTTCAGGATGGGAATTCTGACTTGCTGTTTGACAGCCCCACCCACAGCAAGACCTTGACCTAGGTTTGTGCCAAATCTACCACCAGGCATCTTGAACTCCTTTGGAGGTAGTGTGGTAAGATCTCGACATCTGATACCATGTGGAATAATGGATTCTTGGTCGTATTTCTTAAGCCACCTATCAGATGGTCCCCCAATATATGGCTTCAGGATAGTGATTCCAGTAACTCCTGGGAAGTTAGCAAGCTCATCCTTCAGAACAGCTGTGGCAGGGCTCTGTTCTGCCATTGTCAAATACTCAGCTATATCTTGGTACCTCATCAACTCTGTCCCACTCCCATCGGAGTGGATGATAAGGAATCTAGGAGCATGCTCCTTGAAGGTGGTCAATTTCTTTTCTGGTTTGAGGAGATCTTCGTTACTTACATCGGACATCTCGTCCCCATTCACTGGGATCACCTGGAAGTCTCCATTAGATTTCACGTTAAACACATTTCCTTCCATATCCACAGTTTCCACCACAACATCAGCGTTATGTCTTAAGACATACTGTAGCTCCCTCTCTGGTAGAAGCTGTTCTGTGATTTTGTCAGGGCGGGGGTAATATGTGACTGTCCCCTCTGTGTCCACCTCACATCGACCACCGTCCCAGTGGTGGAGCATATAATAGCCATCTGGAAAAACATTGATGGTGGAACCATTCCCAAAAATTGTGAGGTTTTCACTGGTAGCACAGTTAAACTCCACAGTCGCATATGCTGGACATTCCACCTTCACAAACTTCACTGTCTGGGTATCAAACTCTTTTTCCATTTCTACAAAAATTATATGAAAAATTTACATTACATTAGAAATGGTTTTCATTACTAATATGCTATGCTTAATATAGTATTGCTTTAATTGTCTAATAAAGTTATATCCTTTAGCCCTATTGTATTAATTCCAAATGTTTATCATAAACATAGTTCCTTTAAAGATGATCAAGTCACATTTGCTTGATAAGTCCAGAAGATTGACATTATACCTATGTCCTGGCCCTCCTCCTGGTTCATTGTGTTCTCCCTGTAGTACGTGGTGATACGAGTTCCATCAGCATGCTCCACAATGGTAGTCCCATCAGGGTAGCTAACTGTGATCACATGGTCATCTCTTGTTGCCATTGTCTGTCAAAATATGAAGTCTTTTAAGACTTGGATAATGGGCAACAAAGTTCCAAATTCTTGGGATTAATTCAATTAGTGAAAGAAAGATTTTTTAATTAATAGTATTATTAAATAAATCTCTTTTCAGTTAGTGTCATATTAAAAAATTATTTAGTGTAGGCTGACTCAGACTACTTAACCGGCAAACTATGCATAAAAGATTCAAGAAATTTTTCATCAATTTTCAAAATCTACGATAATACATAAATGTATATCTTCTACTAAAAGATTCAAGAAATTTTTCAATTTTCAAAATCTAAGATAATACATGAATGTATATCTTCTACTTTGTTCTATATTCTGTATTCTGAGTGTAACTGTTTACATCAAACTTTAAATAGTTCCCACAGTAATGCTGTAGCAGCTGACCTGATTGGTAATTCCACTACTATTCTATATTTGATTGGTCATTTTATTACTATTCTATAACAGCTTACCTGATTGGTCTCTGGGTCAGAGGCCACACTGATCATAACAGCCTTCAATTCCTCCATGTCTCCATTTCCCTTATACATGATTTTCTCCCCTGTGGGATATGTGGTTGTCCATGTCCCCCTCTCCTCTTTGACACTCTCAGACCTTTGGGGAGAGGTTCCTCTTCCCTTTGGAAGCTCCCAGTGTCCTGTGTGTACACTAAGAGTACCATCGGCATACAAGACCTGTAGAAAAATTTTTAGTTCAATTGTATTTCATTCTTATTTTTACCTTTCAGTACACAGATTTAAAAGCCATTCAAATACTGAAGGAGTAATACTGAGAAATTCCATTGCTCTTATGAAAATTGGTGGCATCTAAAATTAATAAAAATGCCTGTTGACTTTGTTTTCTTTTATATTTTATGAAACAGGACAGAATATCTCTGAAGAACTTGAAAGTCCATTCTTATATTGCCAGCACAATTGGAAATGTGTAACTTACTTCAATATTTCCATCCTCCATTATTTTGATGACAGTTCCCTCTGAGGTCATGATTCTAGAGGTTTCCTTAAGGGCATACTTCTTACGTATCGCCTCACATTCCTGCTCTCCCTTGGTTTTGTATGGATAACTCTGTTTGACAAGCAAGCGTCTGTCATCCTCTGCTATAGGCTTCATCCCTGTCAACAACAATTTTGATTTTACTTAAAATAAGGAAAGATGCATTTTCATGACTGTTTAAAAGTTAATTGACATAGTAATTATGGGATTTGATGAATTTCAGAGAATTGAAAGCTCTCGCAAAAGAGGAACTTTAATGTTCAAAATCTTAAAGATGATGCGAGATGAATGATGGAAGAGAATGGATAACAATAGGTTACCTGTGTGACTCAAGTTACCTCAAAAATGTTTCAAGTTCCCCCTTAATAAAGTCCTATACTGTAGAGCTCTAGTACCTACCTAGTGAGCTCTCCAGGAGATACTTGACATTAAGTCCATCAGGACAGGAGACATACAGCTGCTGGAATGGCTGCTGAATTGGCTTCTCTTCATCTTTCTTCTCTTCCTGATCTTTCTTTTCTTCATCTTCAAGGGGCTGTGTTATGGAAGGAAAAAAATACACATCAATAACTGCCTCTCAAGGAGCAGAAAAGTATTACTGTTTTTGTGAGAAAGAAATGCACATGAATTCTTATATAGAATAGAATTGAATTTTATTTCAGATAAAATGCAGAAACTTACTGTTGTTGGTGGTGGGGGTTCTGGAGTTGGGGCTCCCTTTTTGTCTCCTTTTTTGCTCTTGGTGGGGGATGGGGGTGGTCCAGGCACTGGGGTAGATGGAGGGGGTGTGTAAGGCAGGGGTTCATATTTCTTACCTAGTGATTATTAAGAATACATCAATAATTGAATAATTCAAATTAAAAGCCTGAATGCTATTCACTTTTGTTGAAATCATAACTCATTACCAAAAATTGAATTTGGATCTGAAGTACTCTTATTATAATTTGTTTCATTATAATAAACTACAAATGTACATATAATAACATATATTACTATAATGACAGATATCTTCAACTTCTACTGGATTATATAAAATTATGTATTTTTTCACTTGAATTTGACTCTAAGCATTGCTTACCATCTTTGGACTCCCCTGACGCCCCGTACTGGCTGAGGGACAGAGTCATGCCATCCATAAGCTGAGCTGTGATAGAACCAAACGCACTGACTGAGCTTTTCTCTCCGTCCATTTTTCCTGTCTTCTGGGCACTACTACCCCTCTCTCCTTCTACAGTTTTGGCATCTACAGGAAATATTTCAATTTCTTAGCAAAGAAAATTTAGTGTAATTTGAAAAAAATATTTTTGTCCAAAATCGAAGACTTGCATTACTTTAAATAAATACATGTGTCACAAATTATGTAAAAAAGAACTTTGTATAGAACACTGTGGATATATTACCATCTTTCTCTGACTTTTCAAAGTCAGCCTTCTCCTCTGTCGGAGGAAGTAAGTCTTCTTCCTGATCAGATTCTTCAGTTGATTCCTTGGGATCCAAAATGTGTACAGTAAAGTTGTGACCATCTTTCAGAACTGTTGACTTAATGCTAGTTGTTCCTGAAAAAAAAAAATGAAATTGATTACCTCAACATAATTAATTAAATAACTTTTTTTCTGCAAAGCTTTGAAGCATATGGATACAGTTTTTTTTTTAAAAGTAATGCTTGTACTGACCTTGAACAAATTCTGTTCTCTCAGTTCTAATTTGTCCACCATCAGATGGAAACATAGATGTGGTAATCCCAGAAACATGTATCAATTTATTTCCTACATCATAGCCTGTGAACTGCAAAGGAAAAGTCAATACACAGATAAACAACAAGGTAAAAATTGCATCCCAAATAATTTTATATTTTGTGATGCCTTTACCATCAATTTTATTCATACTATGCAAATTTGTGACGTGTGTCAATTAATGAAGAGGACCAATGCAGGTTGGAGGTAATGGTAGAAAGAGAGCTGAGGTAGAACATACCGGCCAGTATCTTTCTGGGGGAGATTCCTGTTCGGGTGGGGCCTCCTGAGGCTCGGCTTCTCTTTCCTTGGAGGATTTAGACTTTGCACTTCCTCTGGACCCAGGTCTTTTCTTTTCCTTCTCTGCCTCCTTCTCAGCCTGTGCAAAAACAAAATAAAATTAGGATAATTTAATCCTAAGTTATAAGGGTTTGGACATTTTGCTCAGATATTTAAAACTTCTCTTAAATTCAAATAATGCAATTTGATTATATAACCAGAAAAAAAATTCTTTCATACATTTCAAAACCTAGCATTGTTGATGTAGAAAGGCAATATGAATTTTTGTTTACCCTTTTCTGAGCTGATCTTGCCCTCTTTGCACTCTGTGCCCTCTCCTTTTCCTCCTCCTCAGCCTTGAGACGATCCTGTTCCTCCTTGTAGGCCTTTAAGGAGTTTGCCCGGATAAACATGTTACTGTTGGCAGAGGACGACCTCTCCTGACTACTGCCTCTGGATTTAGGACTCTTTGATCGACCTTTAAAGAGTTTATAAAAATAAGCATTCAAAATTGTGGAGTAAAAGAAAAGTGAAATTTAAGAGGAAATTTTTTATTGCTGCAAGGTAATTTATCAATGTCAAAAGTTTTAATTCTGGCTTGTTACCTAAGAAATCTAAAATGACATTGTTTTTCATGTTAAAAAGATTGTATTTTCTCTACCATATCAGTATACATACATGTATAATGAACTATGTTCACTGAGTTCCATGCTGTAGAAATGTTAATTCGAGAAAATTTTACCACTTTTGGCTTTTTGTATAGATACATGCATTAAACACTAAGTGATTTTCTCAAGGACTTTCTGTTGTACACAGATACATGAAATACTCACTTGGTGATTTTCTAGGGGACTTTTTGCCCTTTGTTGCAGCCTTTTCAGCAGCCTTAGCTGCTGCATCCTCATCCTGCCTCATTTTGTCCAGTTCCCTACTCAGTAAATGGGCACTGTACTTGGCCTCTTCTTCCTGGACCCAGTCAGAAATCGACTCAGCCACATACTCCAAATAATTCCTATAAGACAGTCTCATTCATTCAACAGATGTTTAGATGTTGGTTAACATATTTACATGTACTTCGTCACTTATAATTGCTCTGATTTTTAGTTTTCTATAAATTAGTGTCTTACTTATAGTTACTCTTCAGTTTAACTTTCTTTTCGAGTTAATGTTTTTGGATCCATATCAGTTTATCCATACTTTCTTTCCTTTTCAAAACTCAACTGTTTCCATACTTTTACATATAACCACTATTTTAAGGGTGTTCTTTATGTACCATCTTTGTCCTTAACTCTGTGTCACATGCAAAATTATTTTATAATCATGTGAACTGACTATTTCATGAAATTTCTACTCTACAAACTTTCGTTTTTACCTGAATCCCAGATTACAGTGGAGTTCTGTGTGCCAGTCTACATGGTTCTGGAATTCTGTGTTATAGGGGTTATGTAGAATCACCATCATTGAATTATCCCTCTTATTGAAGTAATGATCAATAAATGGAAGTGTATAGCTGGCCTCCTTCAGAACCTGTCGAAATCATTTATTCTTTTAAATTATGTTGTTTTATTAGAAAACCCTTATGTTATTTATGCATATCAACCATAAATTACTAATAATCAAAAAAGCATTTCTTCAATAAAATTTCACTGTGACTTTTCTAAAGCATTTCTTCAATAAAATCTAACTGTGACTTTTCTAAAGATACAACATAACATATCTTTATACAGTAAAACACGCTTATAATGAAGTGCCAGTGACGGGCCATTTTGCTTCATTTTAAACGTAATTCATTATATCCGTTAGATTCACAACATGTTTAAAACTCACAGAAAATGAAAATAACTTCACTATAAGCTTCGATCCATTATAAGCATCTTCACTATAAGCGTGTTTTACTGTACCTGTAGAAGTATGTGAGGCTCATAGTGTTCAGCAAAGCACCACTGATCTAGCACACGTTTCTGAGCGTCCACGATTTCATGCATGCTCTCCTCCGCTGATTTAACTGGTTCTTCCTCCGTCACCTCCTTGTCCTCTAGTTCTACGTGTCTAATTGGATGTCCAGCCTCATCCGTCTCAAAGTGGACTACAAAAATTACTCCGTAAATTGTTGATGTAACAAAAAATTACTACACTTTTTGAGAAACTGGAAATTTCTCTACATCAAATTTTTCAGAGAAAATAACTCTTGTCTGATCTAGATTTCCATCTGACATCTACTTACAATAATTTGTTTATATTTTATTTTAATGAAAAAATTCAGCATTTGAGAAATGAAAGTTTTCAGAAAATTTTATCTCTTGTATTGACACAGTTAATTTGCCAAATCAAGTACATGCAAAATATAATAAATCTATTAACTGGGTATTTGATTAATGTGTTGTTCCCTTAAGCTTAGTTTTTGTAAGAGTTAGAGCTTACCAGAGTTGCTGCGTGATCGTTTTCCTGCAGAACTAGACCTTGACCTGGGTCGCAGAATTCCCTTTTTGCTGTCCGCTGTGGACGGTCTTGATCGATCACTGCCACTGGGACTCTTTTCCATTTCTTTGAGTTCACGAGGAGGGATTGGGGTGGGGGAGGCAGCACCTACATACAGAAGACCATAACAATCAGTCAAGTATAACCATTATATCAATATCTATGTAACATTAGTGTTATTGCTACATGGAAATGAATTTGTGATGCACACAAATGGTAATGTGAAATTATATCAAACTGCAGTGAGGCACACTGTGCAATTTTTACTGCCACACTACAGTGAAAGCTTGAACATGTACATAGTTATCAGATATGGCATGATACTGCTTTATACTAACGAGTTCTTATATGACTTCACAATCTAATTTCACTTTAATTAGTTTGTTATAAAATGACTTAAAAAACAATGATAATTAAAATCATATTAACTTTCACCATTAGTTATTAAATGGAATTAAACTGAAAAACTGAAATATACAAACTGAAATATACAAAGAAGATAATCTGTACGGAAAGAAATAGTGGTTTCAGAATACACTGTATACTTTCTACAAATTTTGTTTACTTTGGCATGCATAGACAAATCTGAATTTAAAAACTCTAAAGTTTACTAAGCCTAGAATTTTAGGAAAAAAAACTCTATCTAGTAGTCTAGAATGGCCTGGCACAAAGGGAACATTGAGATAAAGGGGAATAGATCAGCAAATGATCTAATGGAAAATGGTCATGGGAAAAATTGGAAAAATTAATGCTTTTTTAAAATGTTCTGATAAGGAACAAGTTTTTGGAGAAAATACTTCTTAAAACTGTCAGTATCTAGCGAACTACAACTGCAAACAAAAACTGCAACAAATAGTTTTTATACAGAACAAATCATGCATTAATTAACAAATATCAAAAATTTCTTCATTTGGAAGAAAAGTTTAACGGACATAGAAGGCATGGGTAAAAAATACAAGGATAAATATAATAGTATAAAACAAGCTATGAACTCTATGCATTTTTTACTTTTGGACGATTTCTTCTTAGACCGAGACTTTCGGGGAGTCTGGTCAGAATTAGGTGATGAAGGTGGCTCTGGTGTTACATTGGGAGTTACTTCCCTTGTATCGGGGCCTGACGAAGGGGTATCAGAAACTTCATAGTCTATCAGTTCCATGTCACTCCCTGTGAAGAGGTATCATTGTTAACTTCTAACAAAATCTGACAATGTCTGTCTATACTACACATGCCTTGTAATACATTGTATTCCAATGGTATGTCTGGCAATATAACTACCAAGTTACAGAACTGCCATGTCTCATTAATGTAAGTTAAAAATAAACTTTACTATACACAAAAATTACATATTACAACTTTTATAACCTTTCTGCTTTCATGGTTGTTTAATTAAAGTTCATGATAAAACTTTGAGATACTTTATAAGTAATTTGAATAATATAAAAAAAAAAACTTTTTTGTGAAAGAAGCATTGTATATTAAATTTGCATAATATATTTCTTTATATTATTAAATTTAATTTTGCAAAATGTTTGAAAATATTTGATATTTGAAAATGTTATATTTTCCAAAAGAGAAAAAAAATACTATTCCCTACAAAAAGCTTCAAGTGTAGTGGTCATAAAGAAATTGAGATCTAGGAACAAAAAAACTAATAGTGATTGTTGAAAAATAAAAAAGATTTTGTGACTTGTTGTTAGTTTTAAATATATTGATTATTAATTTAAAAACAAACATAACAAATTACTAAACTGACCTGAAAATAAAAAGAAAAGCAATTGATATATATACATGTAAATGTTAGTGCTACAATGTTAGGAACATATATACATTATATACTGCTCATATAAAAGCATTAGTGTGCACAGAAATGATATGTTTATGATACACAGGTCTTCATCACCAAGGTATCTAAGATAATTGTTTAATTATCCAAGTATCTCAGATAATTCTTCAGTTATCCAAGTATCTTAGAGAATTGTTCAATTATCCAGTTTCTGCTACTAGAGATAGATTTTTTTAGGAATAAGAAGCTATGATAATTTCTACTGCTCGGAGTGTTTCTGAGTATGTAGGCTTTGTGTGCCCAAGAAGCAGTGTGGGTGAAGCTATAAGAATAATAAGAATGTGTTAATTTGACAAAGACTTACACTTGACAACATTTATTGTGACAGTTTGGGCACCTGACAGCATGAAAAACAAATACAATGTTACATCCAATCCCAGACATGTACATTCACCCTCTATAACCTACACTGTTACTATAAATCACAATGGTTTAAAAGAACTTTATTTACACTTAAACATTGAGAATGTTTTCATGTGAAAATAAAGTTCTTGTATTTTTTAATTGCATTTTAAAAAAAAAACATGACACTTCTTTTTTATATACATGTAATAGAGTCATAAAATAAAAGTGATTTACAATACATGTATATCCAGTCCCATTCATTAAAACCTTCATATTGCATTCTACATCAAGTGAAAGAAAATCCTACTTGATACAAAGCCTTCAAATCACAGTGTTACAACACCCAATCCCATGAAATACAGCCTTCAAATCCCAGTGTAAAACCAAATCCCACTAAATACAGTCTATAAAATTAATTTGCAGTCATACATGCAATCCCACTGAATTCCTGAGTTATATTAAATGATCCCTCTTAATTTATGCAGCGTGCATATTTCCCAAAGTTACATCTAATCCCACCAAATACAGCCTTTAATTGAAGATTTAAATGAAATCTCACTTAGTAAAATTAACCCCCCCAATTTCCCTAGAGTAATATCAAATCCCACTAATACATCCTTCATCATCACATACTGATATCCCACAATGAATACCAAAGTCAACTTCCTTCTTCTATATCATGACAATTTATATAAAACAGGTTCTCCCATACATAAATAGTCTTGCATTTAGTATATCACCAAATTTTGCAAATGCAAATTTAATCCCATTTCCCTAAATCAAGATATTATTATTGGCCATCAGTGTACAAGATTAATACACAAAACAACAATCCAGTAACTGTAGTGCACCCATATGACTTTTGTGCATGGAATGCAGTCACTCATGTGCAATGATCTGATTATAGAAATAATGAAATTCAACACACAATCAATGTTTTGAAATAAGTACATGAATGTGTTACCAATATCCATATTTGCAGTATATACATGTAAATACTTTTTTAAAGAGTATGTGAATACTTTTTTAAAGATTAATTCTAATTTCCTATTTCAGCTTTATATTATCTTCAACATATTACATGCACACTCATGTATTGATTATATCTCTATACATCCCCAATCAATTAATCTAGTCCTACCATCTAAACTGTTTTCTAGATAATAACATATTTATTCATCATTAATTAATACACTAAATGGTTCCAAACATGATCCAAGTCCTAAACAGACATGTTTACATTATTATAACATCTACTAGTAATAGATTTTATATCATGTCTACTTTCCCCATTTCTAATACAAGTTTATTGGGTCTTCACATTTGAAACATATCTTCCTCTTGTGACCCTTCACCTTTGAAAATCAAATTTGATTGGCTAATCCTTACCCGATCTCTCCTCTGATGGAGTCAGCATTAACTCCTCTGAGGAAGGTTTTTCATGCTTAGGGATCATTCCCTTAAAGAAGGGATAAGGGTCATCCCATGGGATTGCTGAGTGATGCAATCCCTCACTATCCCGAGTGATGATAAAACCATTGGGATCAGTGCTGGCAATGTCCATACACTCAAACACAAACTGCTTAAAGGCTCTGTCTATCTCTGAAATCGAAACACACATCATGTAGTCAGATAATGTGGTGGAAGAAAATAACAATTAATTTAATCATTAAACATATTAATAAACAAGCAGCAAGATAAAAAAAAAAACTGAAAAATTTTTGCCAGTTGTTGTCATTTAATATAATGATTCAGTTGAATTGCCCATTCAATAATGTCTCCATAACTAAAATCTAGAGGATGCATCTCTTTTTGGTCATTGGAATGACTTTATTAATTTTTTCAAATAATCCAATGAAAAACAATATAATTTCACGAAGTTTTAAGTAAAATATTTACCAGATTGAGAAAGACCGTCAGTGGCACAGAAATGTATCAGCTCCTGTAGACGAGCTGCCCGCTCTTTAGCCTCGGCACTAGTTGGACGTGGAAGATTTATCAGAGTTTGGAAGGGAAGCTTCTTCAACATTTCTTTCTCCACTTCCTGTGGATTGAATCCATAAATAGTCTTCAAGTGGTTGGTACGAATACAAATGTCATCATGAATATTCATGAGAAGTGGCTGATTTGGAGTATCAGGGGGTCTCTCTGGTAAATCAAAGATGTCTGAAAGCATCTACAAAAGAAAACAAAATATAACACTTTTTGTTATTACAAATATTCAAATTTATCTGATAAAATGTGAGACACTTGATTATGTTGAACCTCATACATTGTGTTCTTCCTCAGACAAGGCCAGTTTGAAGGCCATGCTGCTGATGTGAGACACCAAGTTTGAGTTTAGTCCATCAGCTCTTTTAGGTGGGAGCTGTTCACTGGGTGGATCAGATCCTTCATCTGTAGCAACTACCTACATAGGACAGTCAAAACATTAATTAATTAAAGTCAATGCTAATTAAAAGATTACCCATGAGAGAAAACTCTGTTAGTCATCTAAGGGAGAAAACTCTGATTAATCTTTGTCTAAGTTCTACTCTTTATCAATACATGTATGTGTATTTCTTGAACCTAAATAAAAATATTTATTAAATTTTCTTATGTCCATATGTCCTTTTTTTATGCAAAAGCTTATTTTATGGTTACACTTCCATTATTTTCTATTTTATCTGAGTACAATTAGTAGACTAACCTGTTCCAGCATGCAGTGCATCATAAGAGGAATGCTGGCACTTTCCTGGGGTATACAATTCATCAGGTCATTATAATACCTCATATCTACCTCTGCCTTAACCTCCATTTGGTCCGGGTGAATAGAGGGGAGACTTGCCGGAGCAGTGGTTTGCTGGGGGGTGGGGGCAGCAGAAACTGCAGGCTTCTCCTCTATTGTGTTAGGAAAATTGATAAATTATTTATTCTAAAGATACATTTTATTTCAAGTGAAGTTTAGTCAAATAACAAAATATGAATTTATTAAGTAAATATGAGAATGAAAACTACTTAATCTTTTCCTATCTCTTGGATAAAGCAGTACTCCTAAACCTATCAATATTTGCTTTGAACACTTTAACATTCCTAACTTTTGTGTTATGGCTTCCAGTCAATCTAAAGTTCTAAACATTTTGATAAAGCAATCATTTTGACACATTTTGTAATGTTCCTATTTACCTTGGGTCTGAGCTGTTTCCCCAGGGACAGGAACATGTATCAGCTTCAGGTTCTCTAAATAGGTCTGGTATTGTCGCCTGGCATCAATCAAGTCATAAATCATACAGGCAATGTCCTCAAACAGGGCTGTCCCTAAATTATTCTGAAAACACAAACCAAGTCATACATCACACAGGTAATGTCCTCAAAAAGGGTTGTCCCTAAATTATTCTGAAATCACAAACCAAGTCATAAATCATACAGGCAATGTCCTCAAAAATGGCTGTCTGTAGAGAAACTAGTACTGTTAAATAACATTGTAATTACCACAGACAAGAGGAAACCCACCTTCTGTTCTGGATCCTCCAGATTTTCTGGTACAATGAGGTTCTTGACTTCGTAGTCTTTTCTGGCAACATTATGAAGGTTGCTGCCATCTGGTGGCTTCTGTAACAACAGAAGGATGTCCTTCCAAAACTGCTTCAACTCCTTCTTTAGTTTCTGCTTCTTGGCTCTTTCTGCTTCATCCAGAGCTATAACATAAACCAGATACTCAATGTAGCATAGTCCTCCACTGTAGTGTAGGTCAGAAAAAAGGTGTACATATCAGAGATACTTAATTTGAAAGTGTCAATATATGTCACTTCTTGATAACCACCATTTGAGTTTTGTTTTTGTTTTTCCTTAACACATTGTCAGACAGTGACCATGATATAATGGACATATATGAAATACACATCTACTTTAGAAACTTGAGAATATAATGTTGAATTATACTTGACTGAATAAAATTTTTTAGCTTCAACTTGAAATGTTTTTAGCAATTACATGTACTGTCATACAGAAAACCTTCACAGAGTGATTTTCAGTTTCACGTACATGTATTTCAAGGAAATGGACTACAATACCCATATACTTACCCAGAGTCTTTTCATCTTTCTCCACATCTGGAATCTCTGGCTTCTGGAACCTGGAATAATCCTGAGAGCTGATCTTAATTATGGAATCCACAGTGATTCCAAGCTCAGACAGGTAGGCAATCAGATGGGGATTATTGTAGCCATACACAATGATGTAGTGTTGAGCTCCATCATCTGGTTCATCATCTATAAACAGGACAGAAATGTGGAGTAGGTTCATTACATAAATCAAATTTTGGAAACTTCACACTTAACCAATATCTTTAAAAGAAATTGTATTTTATTTACCATGCACTGTAAAATATTTCTATTATAAACAGGATCAAATGCCATAGAAAGCTTACCCTTATTAAGCAAATAGCATGAGCAACTCCTTGAACTTTATCTTTTTTTAATAATTTCATAACTTGAAAGATATACTCCTGAAACTTTCTCTTTGCATTCATCAATACAATACCTATATATTTTCCCTCATCATCTTCTTCTCCTCGTTTCCTTAGTTTTGACCCTTCCTTGGCAGAGGGGGGTTCGGGGGTTTTCTTCCCTCCCCCTTTGCCCTTCCCAGCAGATTTTGGTTTGTCTTTTCCACCTCCTTTTCCCTTGTCCTTTCCATCACTAGCCTGTTAGAATCACAGATTTTAGATTCAGGGTGAGTTTTAATTAATATTTTTTTATTTCAAACTGAAAATTTTTATAGTATATAGAAATACATTACTTAAACTTCCATATCAAAACTGTGCATATATTTATACTTATATAACTACACATGTCTTGCATAAATAGAAAAATTCCAGGAAAATAAAATTACAATGTACATTAATTCATTTCTTTAATTGTTCTGTTGCATATTTGTGTCCCTGAAAACTTTAATCAGACCATACAACAATTTAAAGATAAAAATTTTCAAAGTAATCAGACACATGAAAAAGAATAACAAGATCAATTTTAATCATGCACAAAGGTATCACTTTCAGAAAGCATTCATCCTATCATTTATATTACGAGGTGAGAAAAAAATATCAGTGACCACTAGTCCCCTAGGATGAGTATGAAATCATAACCACTTGTTTCCATGATGATTTTGCTTGTCCCATATAAGACTTGCTTAAATTCACCAAGTATAAAAAAGAATAAAATGTCATAATCATGGCATGTTTCAGACTTCTTTATCTTTTAAACTTTTAACTATATGTATGTCTGATTTAGCAAAATTATCACCAGATATAGAGAAGCACAAAAAAAAAAAAAAAAAAAAAAAATTCTGCAACAACTACAGTATCTCTATGTTTTTCAACTGGATAATCAGCCATGTTTGAATTAATTTGTTAATGTACAGTATGAAACAATAAATATTTAGTAATTTAAATGAAAAATACTTTCAGTTGAATTGAAAGTATAATATTTATCAAAAGACGGGCTGATTCATTCTAGAAATTTGGTTTTCTTTTTACTCTTTATGGAATCTCCTTCAACCAAACGATCTGCTTATGACAACTAGGAATGACAAACATTCTAATGTTCGTGATTCAGAAACACAATATAACATAATTGGATCTCAGAAGTTTTCTTTTTAATTATGGCTGAAAAAATTACTTGTCACCAGGGACAAGCAGATCATGATATTCACTCGTTCTTCACTGATTTTTCCAGGACAAGTGGATCGATATTTGTTTTTTCTCACCCTGTACAATCTTTAATAGAAAAATCTTGTCAATTTACTCTGTTCCCTGATGTCTGATAAATGATATATCAATTATATATAAAATGTGTATGCATTCTTTTTTCTTTGATTATATTTTTAAAGAATAGACATGTACACTTTGGTTTGAAAAGCTACATGTGATATGGAAGGGTATTTATAGTACAAAGGGGGATACTTTTGGATAGTTAGTACATACATTTTGGCCAAAATGACCACTAACCATATGAAAATGCAAATCCTGTCATACAAGATAAAACATTACATTGGTGATTAGCTATACCTGTGGTGATTGTATCATTATAAAGCATGCAGTTATTTGTGCAAGTATTGCTCCAGCTACATTTGTAGGCAGATATAATTTAAATGTGTTAAATAAAGTATTTGTGCAACAAACTTTACTGGAATCATTTCCTCTAAATTTACTTTTTATGTTTTAAACTTTTTAATCTAAATAAATCTTTAAAAAAAAAAAAGAACACAATTCCAATCATCTACTTAAAATCATTACTGGTGCAGAGAAGAAATCATAATAATCATGATAATAAAGGTTTCTGAACAGAAATTATACTTCACCTTTTTTTTCTTACCACCTTGACCTTGCTGTTTATAATATATATATATTATAGCCATGTTACAGTAAAGGTGTTAACGTTCAACTAAACATGACAACATTTATTTTCAAAAATTTACATACATACATTTGACATACATTTCTAGAGAGATTATTACATGCAATTGATTCACATTTTAAGTGTTACCAGCTCAAATAAGTGACATGCACTACACAAAATGCATCACAGCTCACTGCATTCTATTAGTCAAACTAACTGCACAAATGACAACAAATTTACGGCTTTCTTGTTTCCAAGGAGGACGACCAAACTTCATGTTATGAACATACAATGTATTGATGATACAGAACTATTGTACATATTTACACCATCAAACATTTTCACCACCTCCTTCTATTAGCTTACCTGGTCAGGGTTATCCCTCTAGCATGAGGCAACAAAAACAAAATTATTTTTGGAAATTAATCTTTATCATTAATATAACACCTTAGATCTAATTGCTACAAAACATGGAGATATTTATATGTACTTTTTTTTCTCTTTTTCCCAGTTGAAGTTGTCCTTGTTACATGTGCATAAATTATATTAGAATTTTTCATTAATCTGCATGATTAGGTCTGTGCCATCACATTTAGATTACGGTTACATTGAGACTTGTGAATCACTATGAAGCTCACCTTCTTCTCAGTTTCTCTACGCCTTAGATCATTTGCCTTAATTGACAGCAGTTTGAACTTTATAAGCCTGGCCAAGAGGGGCAAAGGAATTTCCTCTCCATTATCTAGATGTGTCTTACAAGGTTCACACACTTCAAAATGCTGGGGAACTTCTTTTGGTTTCTTTCCTTTTGGGTTTCCTAATTCTCTGACCTATAAATAAACTTTACAAGTGAGACTTTTCATCAACTTTATTTTAAAAATATTTTCTTGGAAATTTTATGCAAGAATCTATATAAAAAAAATTATGGACAATAATCAATTATCACATTTGGTAATAAGCAATCTTCCTTTTGCTTTCTTTATGTATGAACTGTACACCAGCATACATTAACAAAAACAAATTCATTCAAGTATTTTTACTAACAAGTTGTGGTTAGTTTTAGCTTCAATTTTGTAACAAAAACAGGTTTATGCTTCTGAATTGATTTGAACCTGGGACCTCTGGCATGCCAATTGAGCTAAAAGGTTAACCCACTAGCCCAAGCTAGTAGGATGATATGTATCTTACACTACCACATTTTCAAACCAGTGACACCAGTCATGCATTTTATTTTTAATCAATATTATGAGTTCAAAAAGAACTTGGATTTGAAACTTTTAAACAGCCACTGTAAATATTCATTTCAACCACTGAAGATGTCCTTGCACGACGTGGTATGAAAATACACTATCAGTGGTGAAGAACCCAATTGGAAGAAGAAACATTATGAATTATTTTGATTAGGAACAATAATATGGTGACCTTATTCAAATGAATGCAGAGCAAAACATCACATTTAAAATATTGTCATAGCCTAAAAAAAGGGGGGGGGTTAATGGTACAGCCATTTGATTTGTTACCTCAGCCTCCAATTGCTCCTTGGATATAACACTGAAGAGTCTTCTAGACCCTGCAGCAATAGCAGCCCCAAGTATGTCTATCCATGTGTAATCATCGGGTTTGTCTCCAACAAGAAATGCCACATTAGCTTTCCAACTCTCCTGCACAAGAAGTTAAAATAAACAAAATTAAGTAGGTTCGTTACATTCATATATCAAACTGCACATTAGGGCAATGTTTATTTATGAAACAATCGTACCTCGTCAAAAGTGGCGGCAAGAAGTGGTTGTTCCCATTTCGCACCTCCTTGTCCCGATCCACTTTTTACTCTCTTCCCTGCTTTCGACATTCTTCTTAATTATTAAAAAACAAGAGGAAATCGCACTTTTACATTCCCTCTACGATTCTGCCGCCATATTTATGTTTAGAAGGTTGCTACGAGAAGTAAGCATGCGCGTAAATATTGTTTCCGGTTATAAGGTTTGACTAAAAAGTGTTGAAATGCCGAAACATTTGATAATAATAATATAACTCAAAGATAAAAAGACATCAATTTTTAACTTTTGTTTTATAATACTTATTCACGTTTCTTGAACAGAATGCGCTATGGAAATATTTCCCTTGAAAAAAAGGAGCTTTTATAATAAAATTATATCACCCTATTTTTATTCTTGTTGTATTTTACTATATAGTTTACAGAGATATACATGTACATAAATGGAACACTGAATTCAAATCTTATTTGAATTTTGAAGACATTATTCGAAGAAGTTGTCTAGCTTTTCCGGCGTTATTTAGTAGATGCAAATCCCGAGGTGTTCCGATGTCCGTAAAATGAAAGTAGCCAAAAAAGAAAATTATCGGTAACCGTAAACTTCAAGATTAAAATGTTACTTAGAATACTTGTGCCTATATTAAACCCCCTCAAAAATGGAGGGATTCGGCGGACAGCACATGTGTTTACACGTTCTGCATCGAGTCTGTCATCGCAGGCAATAATGTACTCTAAACAAGGTGATCCTAACTCGGTGCTATATCTGGAAAACAGTCAGATATTGCCAGCCCTGAAAGACAATGAAGTGCTGGTGAAAATGAAAATGGCACCAATCAATCCTTCTGATATTAACATGATCGAAGGGACCTACCATATGCTACCAGAACTTCCAGCTGTCTGCGGGAACGAGGGGGTCGGTGAGGTTTTGGAGGTAGGGAAAGGTGTGTCTAGCTTCTGTCCTGGAGACTGGGTAATCCCTGCAGGTACTGGTTTTGGAACCTGGAGGACTTTCGCAGTGTCCACTCAAGATATGCTAAGAAAGGTTCCAAATGATGTACCTGCAATCAGTGCTGCCACAATTATGGTCAATCCTTGTACAGCTTACCGAATGCTAAAGGACTTTGTCTGTTTACATGAAGGTGACATTGTGATTCAGAACGGTGCAAATAGTGCTGTTGGTCAATCAGTTATTCAGATAGCAAAGGAGTGGGGATACAAAACTATCAATGTTGTAAGAAACAGACCAGACTTTGATCAACTTGCAGAGTACCTTAAAGGTTTAGGAGCCACCCATGTGGTTACAGAGGAGTTTTCTCGATCTCATCAAATGAGAGACTTGATCAAATCAATGCCATGTCCCCCAAAATTAGCATTCAACACAGTAGGTGGTGATAGTGCAACAAATCTTCTCAAACATTTGGACAGCAAAGGTGTAATGGTGACATATGGAGGAATGTCCAAAAAACCAGTGGTGGTATCTACAGGAGCCCTTATTTTTAAGAGGGTGAGGCTAACTGGCTACTGGAATGCTAAATGGGTGCAAGAGAACAAGGAAAACCCAGAACTTGTGAGGATGTTTGATGATCTGTTTGACTTAGTCAGAGAACGCAAGCTTTTGCCACCATCCTCAGAAACATTTTCTCTGTCTGATTTCAAGCTAGCAGTCAAATCCTCCCTGGAGGGCTATAAAGGAAGCAAGAAAATTTTCCTCATGGATGATTCTTCCTCCTGATATTATTTTGTTAAAAAAATAGTAAATGGGTATATATTAGTAAAACATCTCATGTGTCAAGTATTAAAGCACTTTAATTTAGGAATATACTGGAATAAAAATTACTCCGATAGATGACTTGATGTTGCTTATTACATGTAGAAAAAGTCAAAATTAAAAAATCAGTTGTCAAATAAAAATCAATGTCAAATTACTGGTAACGTTGATAGTGTTATAAACTCTGCAAATATTAGCATATTAATTTTACACTACTATAGATAGTGATACTGTACTTTCAGTTAAGGAGGCCTTATATTATTGTAATCAAAGCACCTGTGTTTAGGGGATTAAAAGACGCATGATTATTTGATTTTCTTGGTAACAATGCCCCCATTCTAGGAGTAGGTCCATTGTCTTACCAAAACATCTTTACGCTTTAAAGCAAATTGACCAGTTTAAGTAAAGCAAATTGATCAGTTTAAGTAAAGTAAATTGAAAAGTTAAGTAAAGCAAATTGATCAATTTAAGTAAAGCACATTGATCAGTTTAAGTGAAGTAAATTGATTAGTTTAAGGTAAATCCAGAGCTTGACAAACTTCTTTACAATTCTAGTGTTTTAAAATTGATGACAGAATTTAATGAGGCTTATAATGGACCAAATATATAGAGTATCTATTTGTCAATGACCTTCAAGTCTTTGTACTTGCTACATATATATGCTAGATTTATGAGCAAGGTGCTTGTTCATTTTGTAATCATAACATCAAATACAGAAAATGTAAGTCAAATCCAGCATCTGAAGCAAGTTTAAGAGTGTCCGTCCCTTAATGCATCATCCATGCAAGTTTGGTTCAGATAAGCCTTATAGTTTCTTGGTAATGGACCTGCTCCAAAAACTTCAACCTGGTCACTCCTCCAGAAAATGTAGGTCTGATCAAGCATCTTAAGGATACACCAAAGGTTTTCAAATGCCAGGATTTGCATGTAATTCTTTCCTTATCAAAGATAACATGATAAAAGTATATATCATTTGAAAGCTTGTTAAATTTACTATTTAATTATCCTAATTTAAACTTGAATTAATAACTTATTTAAAAATTATTTGAATATTTTTGTAAATTTTAGTGCATAAATATTTTATAAATCAACTTTTTTGTATTTAACCCCTCAAAGTGGTCATTTTGCCTCAAGGTAGATTAAAGATTGAACTTAAGAACTATATCTCAGATTTTTGATAAATCTTCTAATTCAAAAGTTACAGCCATTTGCCCTTCAATATTACCAATTTATTAGCCTAATTTAACATTTCCCTCAATAATTCCAAAACTAAGCTAGATATCAAAAATCTGAGATACATTTTTGTGAACACACATTTGAGGAGCAACGGATCCAATTTTCAGAGAAATTGGTCCATAAATAAGGGAGCTGAATCCTTTGAAATAATACCACAAACTGTCTGATCTTACTTTACAGTAGAGGGCAAAAACCCATTACACAACAAAATCTGCCAAAGCTAGGAATATATGACACCTTGGAGATTCAGCTTTGGATACCTGTCACTTAGCCATATTTCCCATGCATATTCACAAGAATGGGAGGTTCTTTTCTGTATTTAGATACTTTTAATTAAGTAAAATACGTTCAATTCTGAATCAGAAAGATTTCCCGGCAAATAGCAAGAGCTAAGCTCCACCTCCTATTTTATGGTCATCAGTGATCTGTTAGATCTCCTTCTCTAAATCTAGAGTCCCTGTAGTTTAATTACTGATGGCTAGTGAAGAATTTCCCAAGTGGCCACAGTGATTTATTGCATCTTTCATGAGCAGGCAGTCACAAATCAAATCAGAAGCTTCAATAACGGAACATTTACATGTGGTAGTGTTTATGTTTCATTATTGTTAAATAATTAGAAAACCATTTCATAATTACCCAGAATTCTGCATGCATTATAAAGCAGTGATTAACTTCTTTTTCCTAGCCAAAAATCTTAAAATTGTTGAAAATCTTGAAAAAAGCCTTTGGTGTATCCTTACGCAAGTCCAGTAGTGTGCATCCTTAGATGTAACATCCATGCAAATTTGGTCAATATATGGCTTTATAGTTACTTGGAAATGAAATCTGTTCAAGAAACTTAAACTTGGTCACTCATCTGGAAAATGTAGGTCAGATACAGAATCCAAAGCATCCATCCCTAGATGCATCATCCATGCAAGTTTGGTCGAGGTAAGGCTTATAGTAACCTGAGAATGGACCTGCTCCAAAAACTTTAACCTGGCCACTCATCTGGAAAATATAGGTCAGATCCAGCATCCAAAGCAAGTCTGGTAGTGTCCATCCTTAGATGCATCATCCATGCAAGTTTGGTCAAGGTAGGGCTTATAGTTACCTGGGAATGGACCTACTCCAAAAATCATTAATCTGGTCACTCATCTGGAAAATCTAGGTCAGATCCAGCATCCGAAGCAAGTGTGGTAGTGTCCATCCCTAGATGTATCATCCATGCAAGTTTGGTCCATATAGGGCTTATAGTTACTTGGGAATGGACTTGCTCCAAAAATTTCAACCGTGAAGCCAACGCTAACGTCGATGCCAATGCTAATACTAATGCCAACGCTGGGGGTATAGCATAAGCTCATCTCAACTTCGTTGAGGTGAGCTAAAAATCAATCTCTTCATATTCCACATGTAACTACATGTGTATATACCTAGTATGTTTTATTACTATTTTATCTTATAACAACACTGTTACAATAAAATACACCTTTATTGACAATAAACATGTGAAAGTGACATTATCAAATACTCTCATAATTGCACAAAATGCAAATTTAGTCAATATAGGGCTTAATTATTATAGTTACTTGGAAACTTAAATCTGGTCACTCATCCAGAAAATATAGGTCAGATCCAGAAATAAATGTGGTAGTGTCCATCCTTAGATGCACCATCCATGCAAGTTTGGTTTAGGTAGGGCTTATAGTTAGGTACCTGCTCAAAAATCTTTAATCTGGTCACTCATATGGAAAAAGTCAGATCCAGCATCCAAAGCAAGTGTGGTAGTGTCCATTAGATGCATCATCCATGCAAATTTGGTTCAGGTAGGGCTTATATAGTTACTTGGGAATGGACCTGCTCCAAAATCTTCAACCTGGTCAAGATGTATCATCCATGCAAGTTTGGTCCATGTAGGGATTATATTTACTTGGGAATGGACTTGCTCCAAAAACTTTAACAGGGATGCCGACACTAATACTAACGCCAATGCTGGGGGTATATAACATAAGCTTATCTTGACTTGTGGAGATGAGTTAAAAATCAATCTGCTTCATTTTCTACATGTACATTGTAACTACATGTGTATACCTAGTATGTTCTAGTTACTAGCTATTTTATCTTACAACAACACTGTTACAATAAAATACACCTTTATTGACAATAAACATGTGAAAGTGACATTATCAAATACTCTCATAATTGCACAAAATGCTTTTGACACAACTCTGTCACAATCACCTTAATATGGAGATTCGTAGCATAACAGAGAGGAACGATAACTCTTCAAATATTTCAACACAAATAAAAACATGTAAACAATGGACGGCTTCATCATTTGTATAATTCACATAAAATTTTACATAATCTGCAAGTATTATACTCACAAATTTTTCATTGTACTTTATGCTACAACATGCTAGTTTAATAAATCTTACTTGTATATTTACATATACTCTGTTGTAGAAAGGAAGAAAAATAAGACAAACAAACAAAAAAACAGAGGTGATAAAAAGTCATTCCTGATTACCTGGTAATACACTAGTAAGTTTCCTAAAAGATGTTAATTCCAAACTAAATTAGTAAATTGTGCAATATATTTGTAAAATATTTTGTAATATCTACTTGTAATATAAGATTTTGCTACATTGTCCTAACCTTAAGTTCACTGAACTGAGTTTTTCTGTAAATCATTACAATTTTAATTTATAACAGTGGATTGAGTTTATGTTAATTGTTAACTGTTCACTCATAAAATTTTGCTTTAATGCTAACAATTTTTCAAAAGCTTATTTATGATTTAAATGCAAACATATTCAGCATATCTGGTAGTGCAAAATTTGAAAGAGATTGGTCATTCAAATTGACAATTTTATAAAGGAGTAATGGACATTTATCCCACTGAGAGTTATTTCTCTCTTTTCAGAAGAACAGTGGACCTTAAAAATGAAATCCATACAAATCTACTATTCTGAGATAACTCCTTGTTGAAGTCAAGATGAAATTTTTTTTAAGGGAATAGTAACATCAGTTTTAGAGTTATCTTTCTTTGCAAAGGGCACACCTCCTTAAGGATTCCATACAATACTAGTATCACAGTTATATACATAGCAATGTCCAACTTTTCAAGCAGTAATTTTCTGGTTACTAAGACATTTAAAACCCTCCAATTCACTTTGAGACACTCCTCACCAACAGTCAAGTAACAAACAACTGGTTTAACTTTCACTCTTCCATATTAAATAACAAATCACATTTCTGTTACCTAGTTTAAAGTGTATACTTATCTTTTTAATTAAGCTTGGCATAAATTATGAATGAACCTTCATAAATAGATAATTACCAAAATAGTAAAAAATCTTTTGATTTAATAACATGAATCTCTTATAAAACATCCAGAATAACAGAGGAATGTTAAGTGTGTTGCATGTAAATTAATACATGTACTGGTAGTTTTGCAGAGAACAAAATCATGTTGACAGACAGAGTATCCCTAAGAGCTGATTAATTAATATGATTATGTTGGCTTATTCCTATTTTGGCTTTTAATCTTATTGTATGACCTTGTTCTCTTACACTGTCACTAAAATTGAAGTCTTCTCAGATCTACCTTATACCAAGGTCAGATAAGGACAGACTGATATATGCCATATTCCTCTAGGTAAGAAATTAACTATGATGCAGAGAAATCAAATGTTACAGTGATGTCATGTTTAGTTTAAAACATTAAACATAATTCTAAATGCTTTTCAATTTGAACAGTAAAAGAAATGTTCAAAGAAACTGTATCCAAAAATAAAAAAAAAAATAACCTTGTGGGGTATGTGAGTGATTTCAAACAAATCAAAAATCATCATCAAGTGGGCAAAAAGCAGAAATTTCTTTCAAAAAATTATAACTCTTAATTGCAACAAACATAAATGTAACTGAGACAAAAATATTGCAGCTTCCGTCACAGATTTCAAAGAAGTCTGGTCCAGCAGGCTACTTTCCCATAATGCACTATTTCTACTCATCATGCACTGTCCATCAGGTTCAAAAGGTCATCTTCATCCTCATTCTGGTTGCCCTGAATTGACAGTTCACCTGCTATCCTGCTCAGCTCATCATTCTTATTTTTCTGTTGGGAAAATTTTTGTCATTTTTGAATAATTCAGATTTCATCCTTGTATAAAATACAATGAAGAACAGAAACAGAAATTTAGAGGTCAGATGAGGACTGACAAACATACCATTAAAGGTTCTTTGCCATATAACCAATAAAATATATATGTATTGAGTCAGATAAATGTACCATGCATGTACATACAGTCAAACCCCGTTATCTCGAACTCGATGGGACCGAGAAAAAACTTCAAAATATCCGAGGCTTCGAGATAACAAAGGTAAAATACTTAAGAAGTGGTAAAGGCTTCCAAGTCACTTCGACATATCCATGGTATTCAAGATATCCTTGTTCGAGATACCGAAGTTCCACTGTATAAATTTATTATTTACTGGTATTTATATGTATAAACACACTATGTATTATCAATAATCATTGAGAAAAGATTGACTGAAAAAAAAGAATTGAATTGTGCATGATTTCAATTGAAATATTCTGACAAATGTGAACAGATTTTTGAAGAAAAAGTATTCATTCATTATGAGTCATACTCATAAAAAGAGTGACTTCTATAAAAACAAGCACATTTTAAGTTTGCTTTTGTGAGGTACATGCACTGTGAAATATCTTCTCTTGAAGCACTTACTGGCTAGAGACAGAGAGGAGAAGAAAAAAAAACACACATAATACATTTAATTTGATTTGACTTTTAATGTCCCTATTAAATTCCATCTGTGCTGACCAATTAAGTATATTCATTCAGTGAAGGGAGAATAAAATAAAAACACAAATATATAACTTACATGGCCCTGGTCAGCCTAACAGATGCATAGACATAATTAATGTACTTTCTGTTCCTTAATTAGAAATAAACTACATAAATTTAGCTGTTTCATTCTGCCTGTGAGCATGTTATATGTCTTCTTTTTTTTTTTTTTTTAGCTAAATAGGATTTACCAAATGTACTGTGAGTGAGCTCACAAAACAAAACTCTCCACTGAAAATTCTTTTAAATTGTTGCATCCCTTTCGAATTCTCTTTTACAAAGTTATGGATCAGATACAAATTTTACACTTTTTTTTTTGTCAAAGTCCATGAACTCGAACAAAATGACCTTGTGTCAAGGCCATATGATACATCCACAGAACATTAGCAGTATATATTTCTTGTATAAACTTCCAATTATTTTCCATAAGAAAGTTACAGACCTTACATGAATCATATACTTTTTCCATTAATGACCTTGCCCTTACCACAATGACCCTAGGTCAAGTCATGACTAATCCTTGGGTGGCAAAAATGATCCAATTACATGTATGTCCACAATGCATTGTCGAACACAAAAATACATGGGTACTTAACATGCTTAAGTGTACAGAAGTGTACAGAATTTAGTACCTATCAATGAACTTTAAACACAAAATATCTGAAAATATTTGAGCACCTTTTCTTTATAACACATATAATCTAACCATATTTTTAGATTATGCAGAGATAATTTAAATTAAAGTCTTAAAATCAAATATAAGTGTGTTACAGTACAAGTTAACACTATTTACAGTATATTTACATGTACCTTGAGATCAATGTTGACAACTTTTGACTGAGCATGGTCAACTGGTTGAATGCTTGCTACAGAAGCTTGCCTGAAATGAATATATAAATGTACATTTCAAGAATACCTGTAGACAAATTAAAAAAGAAAACTGCAGGTTCATGTAAACAAATAAATATACATGTACACAGGCATTAACTTTATTATTTTTTTTTCACCTTTGAATAATTTGTGAGTTTTGTGGACTGTAGAGTTACTTCCCTTATATACTAAGTACATCAGTACTTACTCTTCCTCTTCATCTGTTTTGAACAGATTGAGTCGGATTTCTGATTTGGCAGCAGAGCTTCCAATTAGCTGACAGAGAAGATCTAACTGAGCTTTGGCCATTGGATCTGGGGTCGCTGATTCCTAACAAGAGGAAACAAAACATAGTTCATAGTAGGCCAACAAAATCAAGAAAAAAAACTATAACTTATTGCTTCCCTTCCCCATCCCATATATAAAAGAACGATTCCTTATACATTTAAGCTACTGATAAAATACAGTCAAACCTCGTTATCTCGAACTCGATAGGACCAAGAAAAAACTTCGAGATATCCGAGGATTCGAGATATCAGGGTAAAATACTTAGAGAATAGAGAGGTTAAGCAGATGACCGTGTACGTCTACGTGTACGTGTAGCTAGGGAAATCCCCTAATTTACTGCGATTTACGTCATCAGTTTTGCATAGCGCGTAATTCTACAAGTTGTACACAACGTGTAGATTCATATGTACACGTATGAAAGAACGTGTAGCTTCTTAAACCCAAATTATAGAATATATATTTTTCAGGCGGTCTTTGTTGTGATGTTGAGAGTTTATTACGTACATCTATGAATCTTTTTTAATCAAAGTCATAGAATTATTTGATACAAATGGATTGTAAAGTGACTTGTTGAAATGACGTTTTACACGTACCGCTACATGTACAGTTTGTTAAAAAGAACACGATGTTAGTTACGTGTACTTGTAAAATCACTTCTAGGTTTACACGTACACGTAGACGCACACGGTCAAATGCTTAACCTCTCTAATAACTAGTTGGGACTTAAATATCACTTCGACATATCCATGGTAATCGAGATATCCATGTTCGAGATACCGAAGTTCAACTGTATTGATAATGTTAGATAATTTAGAGATATTTAGTATCAGGTAGGACATTATTGTACAATACTTACAATATCAGATACAGTAGGTGTTGATTTAGATGTGCGATTGGATCCACTAATTTCTACTGGCCTTGACACAGAATACCTGTCAAATGTCAATGTTTAATTAAAAATAATCCCACTTGTGTTTCTGGAATGGAGAAGTAATACATGTAATTTGAAATTATTTTCTGAAAAGACACACAGATGCCACAAAACACTTTGATTATAAAAGCCCAATTGTGCCTCTGGCTTCAGATAGCTAAATCATCTCAAAATTACACTGACAGATAGCTTTAGTTTGTATAGATATATTCTATGTAAGTCAAAACACTGAGAAGTCCAGCAAAAGAGGCAAAATAAGATTTTAATAGAAAATGAACATCTAAAATTAATACATGCTAATATATATTACATGTATATACAAATGTAAATATACTGAAACCCAAAAGAAACGCAACAAGCAGTAATCTACAAATATTTGAATTTTTTATCTAATGATTTTCAAAAATGAATACAGTAAGGTAAAACTCAATTTATAAACATCAGAGATTTTATAAAAATGTTAAATTATAATCTTTTAACTTTAGAAAGTAACACATGAATGTTAAAACACTCCCCACCCCGGTCATCCAATTACAGCTTGCAAGACTGCTGCGTACAACAGTTGCAGCTTGATTTCTACGATGCAGTAGGTTCATCAATCTCAAGATCTGAGCGAAAGAAATATTCTTTGCCATTTTTAAATGCCTGTTTTTCAGATGATGAGGTCGAATTTTCTCTAGCCAAGCACCATGTAGTAACCCTTGGACTTCCGGTCCAAGGACTGTCATTCATGCTAATGATACGTAAGAGCCTGTTGAGGCGTGAGGTGTTGCATATTTGCATCTGCAACTCTCCATCACCTTTATTTTGAGATTTTCCAGCTAGAGCAATGGAAATACGTACTTAAGTCATTTTTAGGAAGCCTTGGCATTGCATATGGAAAAGAAAGGAGAATTTATTTTTCGTAACATTGCTTCATTACTTATGATGAAAAGATACAAATTCTTAAAACCCCATATTATTGCCAAATATTTTGTTAACTTGCAATTTTTGATTTCTGTTAAGTGGACTCAAACTTAACTTCCGGTGATGGTATGAAAAGCATTCAACCGTTAAATTATCGATATTTACATAGTTGAAGATGTCCTTACATTTTAGATACAAAATTATATCCTATATATAATATTTCCCCCTAAAATAGGATGTTGCGTTTCTTTTGCGTTTCAGTATATATATTGAATATGAGATAAAGATGCAATATATGCAACAGAAATACAATTCGATTTTATACCAATTAATACCTATTTGTAAATCCCTTATGACCCAGATGCATGGTTTTAATACAATCATTTAAATGTGCATTTGTCATTTTCATATCAGTTACCCACTAAAGCAACACAGAAAACAGATTTTTTAAAATATAATTTGAGAATTAATTTAGAAATTCTACCATTAATATAAAGCTTTAGCAGTAGCTCATCCAAATAAAACACAAACAAAAACTCACTGTTGGCCATAGGCATGTATGTACCTATAAAATTAGTGTGAACTTTTAAAAACTGTAGTCTTTATTTATTTGAAAGTCATTTAACATTTTAACTTTAAGAACACTGTGTAAAATTATCACTTGCACAAAAAAAAAAAAAAAATAATGACTCTGTCTTGGTTATATCATTGTCCTATGTTACATGCACAGGTACCAATATATGCATTTTAATGAATATATTTTTTCAATCCTCACCATTTGAAATAAATGATTCTGTATAGACATAATTATTTTAGCAGGAATAACAGGGTTGTCCATAAGAATTATAATAGCAGGGGACATTAAAAAAGTAGGAAGGGGTCTATGGTTCCTTCCTTGACAGAGGGATGAGGAGGAATACCAGGATAGTGGGGGGAAATTCCCTGGCCCCAGGGTCTTAGGGACAACCCTGAATAATTATATATTTTAGCACCTTTCATGCTGCTTCTTGTCCACTAAATTTATGTACATGCTAACATGTGATTTAAACTAATACAACTCTGTGGCGCTAATTTATGATTGCATTAATCAATTGAAGAGGATGCTTGCACTAAATTTTAATTATGTACAATTTCAAAACTTCACCATAATATGTCTCTCAAAAAAAAACCTAAACTGGGGAAAAAAAGTTGACTGCTTTTTTAATTAGTAGATGATCAAATCATGTTAAATGCAATGTGTATAGTAACCAACTATGGAATCAGTGTTCCTGTACATGTGTATTACGGTAAGCATGAAACATGTGCAGGGCTCTAATTGGCGACTAATTTAGTCGCCATGGTGCCTAAAAATTTTGATTGGCGACTAAAATTTCTCTATAAGTCAACAAATTGGCGACCATTTTGTATTGCCTTGGCGATCATCAAATTCCAAAATATAAACATTTTTAACACTTTTTTTCTAAAGAGGTGAAAAGAAGTTTAAAAGTTAGCAATGAGCATAGCTTGTGTTTTCTTTGTCACCTTGTTTATCAGCTTTTAAAGTTGGCGCCTGAGAAAAATTTGCCTGGCGACTAAAAAATTTTGTTGGCAACTAAATTTTTTTGATTAGGAGCCAGCTGGCGCCTAAATTTTAGAGGTCACTTAGAGGCCTGACATGTGGCTTTTTAGCCTTATCTAATTCTTATACTAAGCAGTCTGTGATTCTAATTTTAACCATGCATGTAGATGTTTTTATTTATTTATTTATTTTTTTAATTTTTTTGCTTGTATCTTATAAATTACAGATTCCATTCAACTGACTGCCTTGAATGGTAGATTTGTAACATTCCTAATAGAGTTTTCTAACCCCCCCCCCCCCCCCCCCCAATTTCTCATGTCTTACATATTGGTTCCTAGGGTAGTGATTCTGTTCCCCATGATATCCAAGGACCCATCTCCCTGAGACGGCTGATAGCTTCCCCCTGGCGGAAATGAAGAGGTTTTAACCTCAGCACCACTGGCATTGAATAACCTGTGCAGAAAAAGGAAAACATACAGGTATTTATTAAATTTTCATCAGAGAAATACTGTCATTTATCCATAAATAAAATTGTCACATCGTGAACATGTAGAGGTCATATGCACACTGCACAGTACCACATGGAGGCACAAATTTGGAAAACCAAAGATATAATGTAATAAACAGAATGTCAATGAATTGTAGTGGATATGGAATTTATTTCACACATCAGACAGGGTTTTAATATATTTTTATCCTTGCTCCACACTCAAGAAAAATCCTGTCCCACTTCCGAAATAAATTCCATATATCTAAGTACAAGATTATCCTCTTAGACTATATTTAAATCTATGCAGGGGTCTATATTTATCACTGTTTATTATTAATATCTTCTTTTTTATCTATCCCACCTGCAAACTGTATTGATTTATATTGCAAAAATTCTTTAGACGGAAAATGCATATTAACATGGAAACAAACCAAGGCACTGCATATCTTTGTTCTCTCCCAATACAATGTATTGATCGATACTAAATTAAGGTGTTCTCCACAACACTGTAATATAACAACAGAGATTCAATCAATCAGGCTTTTTTGAGCTCTTAAAGCCAATTAATGGTTTACTTAATGTAGCATGACATGTCTAAAGATGAAACACTTGTCAGGAAATCTCTCAAGGCTTCAAAGCCAAGAGACCAATTATATCAATAATAGACAGGTTAATTTCAGAGGCTAGGCAAATATTGATTGAAAGTCAGGAAGGAATATGACACAGAGGCAAATATTGCCATTATAACGAACAATATTACATATTATTTGGTATATTTGCAGCATGAATAAATTAATAGAAATCTACAATGGGTGAATTGTCTGCATGCAGACTTAACTAACCATAAATCATATTCAGCAAATCTGAATGTTTGACAAGAGATTTCCTGTCCATCAATATTTCCCTTGGGAAGCAATGTGTCATGGAATCAAATGCAACAAATATTTGCTGAATATTTTGTCTTGGCATTTAAAATGCATTAAACATATTCAGATGAATTCCATCAAATTTCAAAATAAGCGTAGACTAAAATTATTGTGAAGACTTTACGACTTCAGAGTAAGAATGTGTAACAAGATTAAAATGATTAAGAATTTTTTGGTATGTTATGCCTTCATGTAAATTTAAGTGCTCAGGGCAGATAGTTTTTGATTTTGTACATATATCTATGATGACAAAACAAACAGCTCCTTAGAACCAGTCATGCAGTTCTTGTACATTATTTTTACTTTTATTTTTAGAATAGCCTCATTGTACATTCTTCCCACTTCTAAAGCATCTTTTGATGATTATTTTATGATTTCACTTACTTAATAGTTCCTGGAATCTCTGCTCCATAAGGCACAGCTCCACCTGTTGGTAAAACAAAGCGGCCATTGCTATTTTGTACTTTGTCCTTGAGGAATATTGAAACCTAAAATAAATGGTAATCTTTAAAAATGTTTAAATTATAATTAAAAATATCAACAACAAAAAGTTTAAAAAAAAAAAACACCATTTTATTTTAAGAAGATGGGTGAACATGACGAGTGAAAAGCCTATAGTATGACAAACATGAAGGTGAAAAATCATCAATTCTCAATTATAACAAAATTTTCCTTGATATTTCATCTAACATTAAAATACACTTTATGAAAAATCTCTACAATTTGCAAAAATCTCACAAAGATTGAAATTATTTGCCTATGAAATATTATACACACACTACAGAGGGCAAAAAGAGTCATTTTCTTTTACTAAAACACTATTTTTCGATATGAGTGGGTCTTCGCTCCATTTTTTTGAAAGTTAATCCTCAAAGTTTGCATAAAAATATACATCTTTTGGTTACCCAAAACATGGAACAATGACCCACTATACCTTAAAAATATACTTTTATGACATAACATTTGCATTATTTTCGAGAAACACTTGAAGTCCATTAAGTCAAGGGTCATATCACAAACATGATTTAAATGCCACTATTCATCAGGTCTTGTGTAGTCTAGTGGTTATAGTATGCTTGTCTCGAAAGAAAATGATACTTAGGATTTTTATTGTTAGGGTTCAAACCCCACGAGTACCACATTATTTTTTAATAAAAGAATAAATTGCCGAGAAAACTTTTCTCAGAAAAGTTTTGTTTATCATAATTTCATAAACTTCAATAATAAGGACGTAACTCTAAATGCAAAATTCACAAACTGAACGTGATTTTTATATATCTGAAGCTATAGGCTTTCTGCATGCTATGTTCACCCATTTCCTTTCAAATTCATTGATACCTAAAATAAACATTATTAATAAATTGCAAAGGTTTGATTTTCAAAAAAAAAAAAAAAAAAAAATATAAAAAAATAAAATTTTTAAAAAATTGAAACGCAGGAGAACTAAAAAAAAAATCATTTATAAAGGTTTTACTAAAACTGCAAATAGCTAAAAATGACACTGAATTCATGCAGATTGTGTTTTAGGTTAAAAGATCAAAATGTCATATAAAACCAACAACATTAACATTTTTTCTCTCCAACTTTTACCTCAACAGACCCAAGTATCAAAATGAGACCACTCATCTATGAATCAATGAATTGATTTGAAATTGCATCAAAGGACATTGTATGTATTACAGCTCACTGGTTTGATCAATTAATCTAAGATTAAAGGACTCAATTAAGTCCCATCTCTCCCGTAAACTTAAATTTCTCGATAATTCATTACATGTATTAAAAGCACACAATGGTCCATACTGGTAAATTTTCAGCAGATCTTTTCTGAGTGTAAAATTTCTTTTTAGTAAATTTTGTCATAAAACAGATATTACAATACATTCATCTGAGGGTGCATTTTACAAAGAATGAAACCTATACTTACCCTTATATGCATATCTTGGAAAAAATTTAGTAGTGTCTGTCTTATAAGCTGAAATTCTCCCATAGAAAGAGATCCAAAAGTCTAAAAAGAAACAAAATATATATAAGGACACTTTTTTAACTGAAACATTTGACTACATGGACATAGTTATCCTCTATGAATTGACTGTATCAATCAACATTTTTGTCGTCATTCTTTGCAATATTGCAGACCACTATATTTTTGTGACACCTAATGTTGTGAAATTGTTATTTAATATTTATAAGAAAGACAAAATTTTCCATGCATTCAGACTGTTGTTGTACATGTATACATATTAAATCTTTATTAATAGAAATGTATGTTAAGATTGAAAATTTGGCTTGCAGAGGCCTAAGTAAAAACATGTACATCACAAATAAAAAGTAATAGGAAAACTCATTTACAGGGAAGTCCCTGGAAACTCTTATTCTGCTTTCTTATAACCATTAAGCTGCTTTATATCCATATAAGAAACAAAGTGAAGAGTTTTCTGTGGGATTTATAAAAGTTTCCTTATAAGTGAGTTCTTTGTATCTGAGTTTGACTGTATTTTATAAGCTTTACCTCTATCAGTAGTCTGTAGACATGATCATTCTTTATATCTGTGTGTTACTGTATATAAGCTTTACCTCTATCAGTAGCCTGTAGACATGATCGTTCTTTATATCTGAGTGTTACTGTATATAAGCTTCACCTCTATCAGTAGCCTGTAGACATGATCGTTCTTTATATCTGAGTGTTACTGTATATAAGCTTTACCTCTATCAGTAGCCTGTAGACATGATGGTTCTATATATCTGAGTGTTACTGTATATAAGCTTCACCTCTATCAGTAGCCTGTAGACATGATGGTTCTTTATATCTGAGTGTTACTGTATATAAGCTTCACCTCTATGAGTAGCCTGTAGACATGATCGTTCTTTATATCTGAGTGTTACTGTATATAAGCTTCACCTCTATAAGTAGTCTGTAGACATGATCGTTCTTTATATCTGAGTGTTACTGTATATAAGCTTTACCTCTATCAGTAGCCTGTAGACATGATCGTTCTATATATCTGAGTGTTACTGTATATAAGCTTTACCTCTATCAGTAGCCTGTAGACATGATGGTTCTTTATATCTGAGTGTTACTGTATATAAGCTTTACCTCTATCAGTAGCCTGTAGACATGATCGTTCTTTATATCTGAGTTTGACTGTATCTAAGCTTCACCTCTATCAGTAGTCTGTAGACATGATCGTTCTTTATATCTGTGTGTTACTGTATATAAGCTTTACCTCTATCAGTAGCCTGTAGACATGATCGTTCTATATATCTGAGTGTTACTGTATATAAGCTTTACCTCTATCAGTAGCCTGTAGACATGATGGTTCTTTATATCTGAGTGTTACTGTATATAAGCTTTACCTCTATCAGTAGTCTGTAGACATGATCGTTCTTTATATCTGAGTGTTACTGTATATAAGCTTTACCTCTATCAGTAGTCTGTAGACATGATCGTTCTATATATCTGAGTGTGACTGTATCTAAGCTTTACCTCTATCAGTAGCCTGTAGACATGATCGTTCTTTATATCTGAGTGTTACTGTATATAAGCTTTACCTCTATCAGTAGCCTGTAGACATGATGGTTCTTTATATCTGAGTGTTACTGTATATAAGCTTCACCTCTATAAGTAGTCTGTAGACATGATCGTTCTTTATATCTGAGTGTTACTGTATATAAGCTTTACCTCTATCAGTAGCCTGTAGACATGATCGTTCTATATATCTGAGTGTTACTGTATATAAGCTTTACCTCAATCAGTAGTCTGTAGACATGATCGTTCTTTATATCTGAGTTTGACTGTATCTAAGCTTTACCTCTATCAGTAGTCTGTAGACATGATCGTTCTTTATATCTGAGTTTGACTGTATCTAAGCTTTACCTCTATCAGTAGCCTGTAGACATGATCGTTCTTTATATCTGAGTGTTACTGTATATAAGCTTTACCTCTATCAGTAGCCTGTAGACATGATCGTTCTATATATCTGAGTGTTACTGTATATAAGCTTTACCTCAATCAGTAGTCTGTAGACATGATCGTTCTTTATATCTGAGTGTTACTGTATATAAGCTTTACCTCAATCAGTAGTCTGTAGACATGATCGTTCTTTATATCTGAGTGTTACTGTATATAAGCTTTACCTCTATCAGTAGTCTGTAGACATGATCGTTCTTTATATCTGAGTGTTACTGTATATAAGCTTTACCTCTATCAGTAGCCTGTAGACATGATCGTTCTTTATATCTGAGTGTTACTGTATATAAGCTTTACCTCTATCAGTAGCCTGTAGACATGATGGTTCTTTATATCTGAGTGTTACTGTATATAAGCTTTACCTCTATCAGTAGCCTGTAGACATGATTGTTCTTTATATCTGAGTGTTACTGTATCTAAGCTTTACCTCTATCAGTAGCCTGTAGACATGATCGTTCTATATATCTGAGTGTTACTGTATATAAGCTTTACCTCTATCAGTAGTCTGTAGACATGATCGTTCTTTATATCTGAGTGTTACTGTATATAAGCTTTACCTCTATCAGTAGCCTGTAGACATGATGGTTCTTTATATCTGAGTGTTACTGTATATAAGCTTTACCTCTATCAGTAATCTGTAGACATGATCGTTCTTTATATCTGAGTGTTACTGTATATAAGCTTTACCTCTATCAGTAGTCTGTAGACATGATCGTTCTTTATATCTGAGTGTTACTGTATATAAGCTTTACCTCTATCAGTAGCCTGTAGACATGATGGTTCTTTATATCTGTGTGTTACTGTATATAAGCTTTACCTCTATAAGTAGTCTGTAGACATGATCCACTTGTTGCTTGATGTTTGGCTGACCTTCAACAAAGGCACGGATGGCATCCATGTGATTTAATGTGATCAGTATGATCTCCTTTGGCCTTAGACACAGTGACACTTGGTACTTGAAGGCCATTGTCATCAGGTCATATAGCTAGAAATAAAAGAAGTTTCATGGAGTCTCTACATTCATTTTTACATCTTTAAGATTCTTTAGCTTCCTCAACATTATTATCAAATTTTCTATTGCCTGGTTAAATTTTTCCTTTTAAGACATATTGAATACATTGCAATGTTTATGGCCAGCAATTTGATCATGAACATTTCCTGAAACTAACTGAGGAATATTGATAAGTTTCTTGCAAAATTGGTATATTCAATGTTCAGCAGATCTAAGTAGTTTATGTCAACATTTATGCAGTACTAGCTCATGTACTTAAAGATTAAGCACTAATAAGAACTTTTCTGATGGAAAAAAGGTTAACAGCTAGTGCAAACTTGCTTGAGGACTAGTAAATGTCAACAAGAAAAATTTGCAAATTGTTCGAAAAGTTCGTGGACGATGTCAATCTTTGTTATACTACTTCCAAGAAATTTAAAATAAGCACAATATTATGTGTAAAAATATTTGTTTTGTTGATCTGTGAAATTTCATTTCATTCGATTTGATAGAAATTAATTTACTTCATTTTAAAATCAACATGTTTTGTAACCACGGAGCACACTTAAAATCAATGTAACGTCAAAAACATAGCGTCAAGAATTTCTTAAAAATACTATCCCTATACATTCACACAGTTTAGTACAATACCCACGTATTAAAAACCTTTTTCAATCACTTGACATTTATTTTTCTAACAATTGTTCTCGTTTTATAATTTCCTTGGTTAATGTTTAATTTCTTTTACCGCTTAACTGTGCTTTCACAAGATCAACAACTCTGAAGCGCCTACGTCTTTCCATGACGTCCCAACTTTTAAAAGTTTTCGTTCAGATTTTTACAGTTAAACCGTTTCTTCACAGATTGTCCTGGTCCGATACAGAGTCTCTGTCACTCAAATACCGCCTCTACCATTTACGCACACATGCACTACTCGCTTGTGGCATTTTTTCTGATTCCTCCAACATTTTAGCGTTAATTCAGGATTTTCCACGAGTATAACACAAAACTGCATCGTTATCTGCTGCTCCGTGACGTTCTGCAACGTCATCGTTTTTGTCGTTTTCAATGAGGACTATCTATCTTCTCAAATTGATTTCTTTTTACCGAAGCAAAATATTAAGCCATAATTTGGAATACGAATCGATGTAACAGTTCTTAATTTAACCGTCTAGGATTTTTTCGTTTTTGCTCCATTTTACAGAGAAGATGACTACAGACATTATTTAGTGTACTGTTTGTAAATAACTAAATTTTGACCTGCGCCGCGATCCGATTTTTGCAGTTTTAAATTCTGGATAAGTTTTAAATAAATCATGCTATTTTTGAAAAATTTCATACTAATCATTTAAATTTATTGTTAAAATATTTCTACCAAATTTGGATGACATATGACGTTAAATAAAAAAGATATGAAAGAAGTCCACGAACTTTTCGAACAACCCTCGTAGTATATATATTTTTGAAAATGCTTCCTTAGTTAGTTTCTGCAAAATAGAACATGATTATGACTTTATAAATATGTTTAACTTTTCTTGCCAAGGAAAGCTCTACATCTACTTGTAACTTAGAACTTTTTTAAAACATTCTATCAGATTCTTCCAGGATTCTTTTGTGTTCTATCATATATTCTATCAGATCTAAAGCAGCTGGAAGGAAAACACTGTTTTTTTTTCCATGATGCAACAAATACAAACAAATCTTACTTTGTCCATGCTTGGGGCATTCAGCCTCATGATTGAGGCATGAGCTAATCTGTCAAACACTGTCCTCATGGCTTTTTTGGAATACAGAGGCTGGGGCTTAAATAACTCCTCCATGAATCTTTTGTGGAACATTGTAGATATGATATCATGTAGAACTGTAAAATGAAGAAAATATGTTTATACAAACAAATTAAATTTGGCACTAAATATGACACAGTAAATAAACTACAAGTATAAACTATGTGTACACCTTTGCCCATTATATCCAACAGGTTGGTACAAGATTTAAGATGGCACAAATATATAATACACCTTGGCCAAAGAAAATTTTTGTGACAGATAAGATTTCAGATCTATTTGATTGTTTCTGTTATATGAGTTTGTTCAAGGCTTAATTTACCTAGTATATTCTCTTTGAAGACAGGGTTTGACATTAACTTTTATGAGTACTAGACTAGTCGGGCTACTTCCCATAATTTTTACTAGCCCTGACCATATAAAAATCACTAGCCCTGACCAAACTTGAAAATTTTACTTTTTATAACTTGCTAATTATTATGGGAAAAAGGTTGGAAACCATACTTTTAATAAAGATATATTCTCTCCCACCTGTTAAGATATATTTTTACAGATTGTTCTATAAGTCGCAGGCCAGTGAGCCAGGATAAGCGGGACATGCGAATATTATATGCCTTAAAGAACATTCAACAAACTTTAATAAAATAATTACCATAAATATAAATAAATTAAAGAATATATTATTCAATAACTATTCATTCCAATTGATACTGAATGAAGCTAGTTTCAATGACTAATCTATTACAGCCCGATTAAAATGTTTTAGAATATTTACTTGACTGAAATGAGGGTTAAACTTTATTTCATCCACATGACCAGTCAGTCTAGATCAAGAACATTTTACATGACCGGACCACTCATTTACTAGACTGGGTCGGTCGGGCGTGCCTTAGTGTCAAACCCTGGAAGAAGTGGACAGGCATAGCCTTTGGATGTATGCCATGCCTGTCCACTTCTCTAAAGAGTATAACGTTCAAAGGAATTGTTGTAAGTTGGATGCGGTCGATTTTTTCTATAATATAAGGCTTTAATATGAAAAAAGGCACGGTTGCAGTTCTATACATATATTTTAAAATGTGACATACAGAAAAATGAGTATACATGTACTTATCTTTGAGACAAACAAACAATTTCTCAAAAATCTTGATCCGTGTGAAAGGTTAATAAAATATTTTTTTTGCATGCAGTGTAACCGATTTTCGTAAAAAGATAGGCCTACTATCTTAATGCAGTACAGCCTACAGGCATGTAAGCACCCCCTGGCTGGTAGAATGGATTAATAATACTGCACTTACCTTTCCTTGATTTTTCATTTGGAATATTTTGAGCTCTTAGTCTTTGGTCCAAAATATAAATCATTTCACCGCCTAGGTTAATAAACAGTAGCGGTAAAGTTTTGTACGACATTTTGATTTCTTTCTAAATCGATCTGTCGGATCTCGTCGAAGAGCTTCACGTTGTTAGAAGGTGAAGGTCATTGTCAGGTGCCCTTTGGAACACCTCGGGCAAACAGTTCAACGAACATGGATGTGCTTTCACTTTCCCTTGAACCTGTTGCACTTTTAACTGCATTAATTCTCGCTCTCTCGATTTTTTACTTCTTTTCGTACAGGAAAAGACTGCAAAATAACAAATATCCCCCATCATATGAAGGTTGGATTCCGTGGTTAGGATGTGCTTTTGAGTTCGGGGTAGCACCACTAGGTTTTATAGAGAAAAAGAGGAGGGAGGTTTGTACTATAAACTTTCCAGTACAGACAATGTTATTTAATTTAAAAAAAATCTTTGAAAAAACTCATAGTTATCTCCAAAGCAGTCCAACTCGATGACACTGGCGCATTAACTTAATTTGGGGGGTGTAAACACCTATTTGCGAAATATTGCGTTTTAAGGGAGATAACTCGTTTGTCACTCAGAAATGTCAACATGGTCAAAGTCTTACTGTATGAGAAATATCCATTTTTAAGGAAAGAAATTATTTTCTCACTTGTACTGAATTCATTTATATGTCATCCATGCTGTTAATTCAGACCTATGAGAGAAGCATTAAAATACTAAAGAGAGAAAATTCTATAAATTCAATATATTTTGTGGAGGTTCAAGTTTCATGGATTTTGTTTGTACCCCTGTCCCGTGAATCTAATTCATAAGTTTTTCACAAAAGTATGACTTGAAAACCAATTTTCTTTAGTTTGCCTATAACACATTTTCTTTAAAAGGTTTGTGAACCAATTTGATTAAAGCTAAGCGTTATTTTATCTCCACAGCTTGGTCCTATATTCACACTTGGAGTGGCTGGCGAGAGGCTGACATTTCTGACAGAGAATGAGGACTTCTATCATTTCTTTCAGTCTTCTAATGTTGACTTCCAGAGAGCGGTCCAGGACTCTGTCCAAAATGTGGGTATGTGCATCAGTAGTGAATTCCAGGCTGTAAAGGTCTAATACTTCCCACTTTTTTTGTTATTGCATTTTCTTTTTTTTCAGTATTCTGAGCTGACAAGAAGAACATTGTTTACATTTATAATATATAGTAAAAGTTGTCAAATCTGGATATTATGTAATCCGAAATCTTGCCTGTCACAGTGTAAAGTTTTAGTCACTTTCATTAAATTTTAAAATTAATTGTTTGAATGTTATCTAGTCCAGAATGTTGTCTAATCTGGCCAATTTCTATGGAAGCAGTGGTGTCCAGATTAGACAAGTTTTTACTGTAATATGGTATGTCCTTTCACCTCACAACAAGAAAATATATCAGAAATCTCAGACCAGATATGTAAAGCTTCAGCTTAGAATTTGTTTACCTCAGCTAGTATAGCTACAGCATGCATTTAACACAGTAACTGAGACTATCAACACATTATATAAATGAAATTTATTTTTAAAAAATTCAGAACAAAAGATATGTAATTCTAGCTTCTGTCAGTGAGGAATCTTTCATGCAAAACCACACCAAGATTCATGATATGTTGAAGGGACGGCTAGCATCTTCACGCCTGAGTGAAGTCACACCTCATTTGCTTCAGCAGTTTAAGGAGAGGATACTCACTGTATTTGGTCCAGAAGGTAGTTATTGTTCAGGAAATTTTTTGTTTTTAATGGGATTGTGTATATTTTTTTTAAAAAAATTAAGTAATGCATCAGAATACATTTACAGTATTTTCCAAACAATTTCAGGGGAGAGTGATCTGTTCAACTTAGTCAGGAAAACTATGTATGCTGGTGTTATAAACAACTTGTTTGGTGACAATACACTCCCAACAGAGGAAGCAGAGGTATTAACTCTAAAACACCACACTACAGTCAATTAATAATCATTTGAAGTACAGATCTGTACAATTCTTGCTAATGTATTAATTTATTTTTTTGCTTCAGGAATTTGAAAGGCTCTGTAAACATTTTGTTATATTTGATGAACAGTTTGAGTATGGAGCAAGGTTACCTCCAGTGTTTATCAGGTAAAAACTCTCTTTCATTGAGGCTGCTTTATATACCCAAAAAAGAAAATTAATGCACCCACTAGCTAGTGGAAAGAATTATTACCATATACTACATTAGGGTTCAAATGTTTATCCTTTGGTATTTCCTCTTTAAAGATGAGACTATTTAAATTCTGTGCTAATGGATACAGACTTTAATCCTTTCCACCTTTATGAAACATAGATTTTGAACCCAATTTGTAATGCAAATGTATAACAAATTTACCTCCCTTGTGACAGAATAATGATTTCTAAGTCTTAGACATTTTTATTCATCCAGAATTAAAATTTGTACTGGGGGGAATGGGGGCCAGTTTAAGCTTTGACATGATAATTCATTTGTAGTTGGTGCATAAAAATTGGTTATGAAATTCAATATTAAATTGTTCCTAGTTAGTAAAAAGATTTTTCTAACTTGCCCTGTCACAATCATGCAAATAACATTTCATAAAATCATGTCATAAATGGACTTGTCCAAGGTAATTGGACACCTGTTGAAGAACAGTACTGTTGTCCATGGGAAGGTATTAAATATATTTCTTAAAATTTAACTTGCTGTCTTTTGTGAAAAAAATTAGACAATTTCGCTTCAAAAATGCTTCAAGTATGCTATATTTAAATGTGATGTCAAGTGGATTGACATATGTTTTTGTCATATTGTGACATAGACAACAGAGGTTATATGATATAAACTTATTTATCTTTCCAATGAAATGGCGCATTACAACAAGAATTAAATTATTTACTATTTCATAAATTTACTGTAAACCAATTCATCGAAACATCTTTATCCATGATTCATAAGCGTGAAATACATCTGCGACTACTAATTTTTGCTACTCAGGAAACATTTAGCATAATGGCTCATGGCGAGAAATTTCATGAGTAAAAGAAGGTTGTGAAACTCGCACATATTTCTCACAGGTGAATCAAAGTTGGTTTACAGTATATGATTAATTTTGTTGAACAATTAGAACTTTACAACAAATCTTAACTTGTATTTTCTGAAACACATACATTTATGCATCGTATATTGAGACTATCTGAATCAAGAAGTGTCTGCTATAAAATGATGCTTTTTCCTTGATTTGTTACAGAGACTGGTCTACAGCTAAACAGTATCTTCTGTCAAAGTTCAGAGCCGTAGTTACCAAGTTAGAGAGTCAGGGAAAAAACAACAATCAGGTACATACATAATAAAATCAGCTGACATAGATTGGTCTACAGCTAAACAGTATCTTCTGTCAAAGTTCAGAGCCGTAGTTACCAAGTTAGAGAGTCAGGGAAAAACCAACAATCAGGTACATGCATAATAAAATCAGCTGATGCTAGAAATTTGTTTTATATTCCAGCTGAGATTAATGAAAGTAAAATACATGTATTTCTGTTTTGTTGTTGGAAAAGAGAATTATCAATATCAAGTATTTAAGCATTAAATAAATATTGTCTGTGGAGGAAATAAGTAAATACATGGATGTGGTTATGTCGTGCAGAAAAAAGATTTCACTCTGTACTCTTGCTTTATCTAACTGGGTTAACTTCATTTGGTGCCCTACAAAAAATTAAATTGTACATACCATGAAAAGTTTTTATACAACAGAAATAGAAAAAAAACCCTTAAAATATTGAAATAGAGAGTAACTGATGGGAAAAGACCATTTAAGTGATTTTTTGTTGTTGTAATTCTGTAGTAAATTAGGAAGGTGGTCTTTCAAATCTCCAGCTGTATATTTATATAAATGAACAGTTGCTGCACGTACACTGTATCCTCTTTAAAATCTTTCTCCAAGTTAATAAGCTTAAACATCCTCAACTATTTTAGAAAGATATTGAGGTACATATGGCTCTCAAAAAATAATTCTTACTTTTGTGAAAAATAAAATAAGATAAAAACTGAAAGGACTCTACATAAAATGGAATCCCCAAAACTGCTAGTAAATAATGCGACAAGGATAAGGCAACGCAGAGTACCCATAAAATATCTCAGTGCACCATCTGGGATAGCCTGGTTCCCTGGCTCATCCTTGACGAGGCAGGAGAGCCAGGTGGATTAAAATGGATGCTGTCCCTTGATTGGTCAGAACAATTTGCGCTAAATCATAGATTTTTGAGCCATTACCGTTAACCACAGAAATAAATATTGACATCACAATGATACATTGCATCGATGGCGTAGAAAAATACATGTCACAATGAACTTCTACACCGGAAGCGCAGCTAAATATGACATCACAATGGGCTCAGATTCAGGGCAGATTCACATTGTAGTCCACCTGGCCCTAGTGTCGCAGAGTATACGAAGCATAACAGGGACAGGGAACCAGGCTACATCTGGGACTACTTAGATGTGACATCATAATAGCATGTGACATCATAATAGCATATGATGTCACAACACTGAAAAGAGCTTTTTAAATAATGTTGCATGTAAAAAGCTTTCATGTTAATGTTTAATTCAGATGTTTGGACTGTTGTCTTAAACTTATCCTAAATGTGCTGTTATGATGGCACCGCACATTTGCAAAAATATCCCGATTCTTTCCTCTTGTCGGATATGCATCAAGTTCAAACAATAACAAAAATTTGAAAATGAATTGCTCCCCATTACGCATCTGTAAATAATCGAGTTTATGTCATGTAGGCATAATAGACTGATGCAAGTGATTTTAAAATTAGAATAAAATATTGAAGATATTTTGTGTGAATCTATTAAAAGAGTATCTTCTCTAACTGAATGTTTTGTTTTTTACCTAGCCTATTTTGTTTAAATTGCAATGTAGAGTAGAAAATACCCTCACAATCTTGTGGGGGTAAGTTGAAGTTCTCATGAAATATTTTATATACATGTAAGTAAAATGCAAACTTTCCCCCAGTACTTTTTGAATTCATTTAATTGATAAATGTAACAAAACATACTCAATAATTGTGTTAATCACTCGTGCCCTTGCAATTTCCATGCAAGAACAACAAAATCATGTGAGGTAAAAAAATTCCATATATATTACACTGTACATTTACCTGATAAAACTCTCTTCACAAACTGGCTGTACTTATACACTTACAGTCAAACCTTATTATCTCAAACTAAATGGGACTTTGAGATATCTTTCAAATCTTTGAGGACTTTCAAATCACTTTGACATATCCATGCTATGTAAGGTTGTAGTTTACAAATTTAAATCAAAACTTAGCTTGAAATGGTGGTGTTTTGAATGCATTTTTTTTAAAAAGCTTCGGAGATCGAGTCTTAATTATCAAAGGTGAAAACGTTTGTGTTATACCATAGAATACTTATGCTGGTGCACCAAATTTGCAGTTATATGTATATTGAGTGTAGGATTTATTTTTCAGACAGTTTTACAGACATTGATCAGCATAACTGACAGACCTCATGCTCCAAATTACGCACTTCTGCTGCTCTGGGCCTCACTGGCTAATGCTGTCCCTGTGAGTCAATCTTTATTTTCATTTCTGTAAAAAAAAATTTTATCATGTGAGGGTAAGTGTTCTTTTATTAAGATGATTATTTTTTAGCTTGTTTTTTAAAGCTGACATTTTGGGCACTGTGCCTGATTCTCAGTAACAAGACAGTTCTACAGAAACTTCAGTCACAGATCGACGACACACTGGGAAATATTCCAGGTACTAGTACAATTGTTTTACACAGACTTCTGTATTGTATTTTGAAGACAAGAACACAATTAAAAAAATTGTAGATACTGGATATTGAATTCAGGTCAAAAATATTGTAGATGTTTTTTAACGTGTTATAATTTAAATCTGGTTTTAACATGTCATTTGATTGGATAGAAAAAGTAGTTTATATCATATAACCTGTATTGCCTGGGTCACAATATGACTTAATTAATACATCAAAAACATCAATTCACTTGACTTTACATTTAAATGTAGTACAACTGGAAGTAATTTTTGTTTTCGCTTTGTGATTTAAAAAGCATAAACTGCCTCCACCCAGCTTATACAGTTTAAGTTGTATAGCTATGAAATTTATTCCTTAAATAAATTTAGATATTTTTTAACAACTAAATCAGTCTAGTTTTGTCTATCTAGAGTGTTCACTTAATGTATAGTCCAATCCACATTTGCAAAAGTTGTTTCCCTTTGCAGGGTCAACTAAAAGGTCAATAGGGAAAAAAGCAATGTTTCTTGATCTTCTTTACACTACCAAATCTTTGGGCATTCTGCGTTAAATTCATTGTGTTCAAATTTTTTTTCCTTCGATGTATGGGTAGCCCCATCCAAGGGCAATCAAAATACAAGACCCAACCCATTTTGACGTCAAAGGACAATTTTAGGTTACAAACCTGAAAGTTACAAAGGCTAGTGTGAGAATTCTATGAGTTTTTTCCCCCAAAGATGGCAACCAAGGGACATAACTTTTTAAAAGTGTGGCTTAAACTGTTGGTTCATAATTTTTCTGTATAATCTACTGTGGAATGATTTTAAAATGTCACTTCCAAGATATATATACACACGAGTCCTTTATCAATAGGAATTATTTCCCACCACACTAGCATACTACTTATCTGTAAAGACACATAACTTGTAAAGGTGTAAGCACTAGGTTACCTAAAGTCAGATGATCTTTAACACAATTCTAAATGATATGAAAAAGCTTTAAAAATGTTTACAAAACTTCTGAAATGACAGCCAAGATAAGAAAACCTTTCCCAGGCTCAGAAAAAAATGTTTTCTGAGGATGATTTAGAGATAATCAAGATCAAAATAGATAATGATACAGTCTATGTATCTCTATCAGTTTTGTTTATTTTCAGACGAGGGAAAAGGACAAAAATATATGTAAAAGGGTTTTTTTTCTGAGCATGAATTTAAGCCATGTTAGACAGTGATGAATGAAATGCTGCTATATAAAAAGAATAAGTAAGGTGAAGGTTGTTTTGGATGATTTCAGATTTTCTTTTTCAAGTTATCTCAGATTTCTAGGAATTTTTTTAAAAAATTCTTATCAATTGACGCATTTAATTTCATGCATCAAATGATGCTTAAGAAAAATTAAGAGAAGAGTATCTAAATTAAACTGATAAAAATAAAGTCCAGGTCATGTGAATTTCATTACTGGCACCAAAAAATGAAAATCAATAATATATTTTTAAAAAATGTTTTAATTCATTATTGATTAAACAGATGTTAGATTCTACGTATGTAATGCAAAGCTAGGCTCTGAAGCTAACAAGATTTTTATCTAATTCTGTGTTATTTGATTTTGTTGCAAAGACTTTAAAACACAAGAAAAACATGTTTTCTTGGCAGAGACAAGTGTAATCAAATTTAGATAAACAAATTATTTGCCAGTAAACAGCCATTAAGATTCTGAATCAGTTATTCACCATCCAGAGGAGCATACTGAATCATCAACCACTTGCTTCTGAGATGTTATCATTCATGTTTTTTATACGATAATTCAGCCTTTTATATGAGAGTTCTGTAAGTCAGATTTTTATTTGCAATACTTTATACATGTATGTAATGTAGCATATTTCCAATAGGCAAAAATGAAGAAATTAATAAACAACTTAAAGAAACATTCATGTAACTTAGGTACATAAAAGTTATGTGCTGATACATGCAATTCTTTCCAATTCATCCCCCATAAAAAAGTACATGTACCTTACAACAAATAATTTGCAGCATAGGATGCTCTGCTTACTTCTCTCTCCCTCTCTCTCCACCCCTTCTCTGATCTCTGTTGAGGATAACCTTTAGTATTTTAAGTTCATCATGTGATCCCTCCACTCCAAATTCCTGCATGCAATCATCTCTAAAATTTTCAATTATTACAGTTGAATTTCATTATGTTGAACACTGATATCTCGAATACCAAAGATAAGTTGACAGTCTCAATCACCTTTTCTCTATGTTTTTTTCCCCTCATTTTCTTAAATCGTTAGATATCTCGAAGTTAAATCTTGGTCCCCTCAAGTTCAAGAAAATGAGGTTTGACTGTATTATATTTAAAATAAATAATCTTGACAGAGGAGCAGTGGGACTTTAGTGAGGAGTTTCTTAAGAAGATGCCGTATTTGAGGAACTGTATATTGGAGGCGATACGTTTACATCCTGTAGGAGTTATAACTCGAAGAGTGATGACATCATTTACTGTCAGGGTAAGGGCATTTTTTATAATATTTAACTTTACATTTTAAGATGCAGTCATCTTTTATCACTAAAGATGCTGTATGAGAAATCAATGGTATAAAAAATTTTGTTTTATTTTTCTTATCAATTTATTAAATAAACTTTTTTCATAAACTTAATTTTTTTAAATATTATTTATATTATTTACAGATGATGAATCACATATCTATTTCAGTATCATAAATGACCAAATATTGTACAATATCTATACTATATATACATGTGCCGTCATTTCTGTTTTGCAGGATTACACAATACCTAAAGGAGACATGCTGATGGTGTCTCCGTACTGGAGTCACAGAAATCCAAAGTATTTCCCTCATCCACATACATACAATCCAGTAAGATCTACAGCTGTGATAGAATGTCACAGTCAAACCAATTTACAGAATACTTCACAAACATCTATAGCTATAATAGAATGTCACACTCAGATCAACCTTCAGAATACTTCACAAAGTTCTACAGTTATAATAGAATATCACGCTTAGACCAACTTACAGAATACTTCACAAAGTTCTATAGTTATAATAGAATATCACGCTTAGACCAACTTACAGAATACTTCACAAAGTTCTATAGTTATAATAGAATGTCACACTCAAACCAATTTACAGAATACTTCACAAATTTCTACAGTTATAATAGAATGTCACACTCAAACCAATTTACAGAATACTTCACAAAGTTAAACAGTTATAATAGAATGTCAGACTCAAACCAACTTACAGAATACTTCACAAAGTTCTATAGTTATAATAGAATATCACGCTTAGACCAACTTACAGAATACTTCACAAAGTTCTACAGTTATAATAGAATGTCACACTCAAACCAATTTACAGAATACTTCACAAAGTTCTACAGTTATAATAGAATGTCACACTCAAACCAACTTACAGAATACTTCACAAAGTTCTACATGCAGTTATAATAGAATATCACACTCAAACCAACTTACAGAATACTTCACAAATTTCTACAGTTATAATAGAATGTCACACTCAAACCAATTTACAGAATACTTCATAGAGTTCCATAGCTTTGATAGAATGTCACACTTGGACCAACTTACAGAAAACTTCACAAAGTTCTATAGTTATAATAGAAAATCACACTTAGACCAACTTACAGAATACTTCACAAAGTTCTATAGTTATAATAGAATATCACGCTTAGACCAACTTACAGAATACTTCACAAAGTTCTATAGCTATAATAGAATGTCACACTCAAACCAATTTACAGAATACTTTAATACAGTCATTCTACGATAAATGGACCAATTCAAAGTAAAAAACATGAAAAAAATAATTGTTTCAAATAGCAAAATGTACATTATAATTCTCTAAAGGATATATCAGTGAACTTGAAAACAAAGAATTGTCCACAAATCTGGTATCGTTAACTTTTTACAACAATTTCAAGATACCAATTATTTTAAGGTAATGTTACGGAAGTTAATGCTTGATCAAGCCTTATTATTTTTTAAATAAAGATGAATTTGACCAATTTTTCGTTTCTGGTGTTCAGTAAAGAACGCTAAAGTATGATTCATGAAGTCTCGCATGAATCCGAATTTAAATTAAATTTTCGGGAAAAATATCGTTACGGAAGTTAATCGTTACGGAAGTTAATTCCCAGCAATAAAAGTTAAAATTCTCTTCAATAGTTAAAATCAAAGTTTATTTTAGGGTATTAAACAAAAGTATGAAGCATTTCGCTCCCAAAATGATAAAATTTTTTATACCTTTAATGCAAAAACTTTCCTGAATTACCGTTACGGAAGTTAAATTTTTAAAAGAGACAACTGTTTTTGTCTAATTTATTTTGTTATGTCGAAAATGTAATCGTCTAAAATAGCTGACTCGCAACTAGAATCGATAATATAAGGTTCCGTGGTCACTTTCAGATAAGTTTCAGCTCTTTTTGAAATCTGCATTCTATGCGTGAAATTTAAAACAAAATCGTTACGGAAGTTAATAGATTTTAAGCGACATGCTTATGAATTCGCATGAAAGGATATCTATGCATTTCTTTGCGAGAAGTGATTTGATTTCTTTTTATATAGGATAAAAGACATTTTTCAACATTCATTGCAATCTCTTCGGAACGATTTTACGGCAGAAAATTTCATCTTGAAATTTGTAAATAAATTAAGCGACATTAAGATTTGCAGTGGAATACGTTTTTCAACATAACATTGTGTTCATATCAAAACTTTAACTGCATATATATTGGTGAATATTTACAAAACCATGTGTGTATGTTAAGTCTTAGAGTTGAAATCGACCTTTAAATTTATGATTAAGATATTGCAACGGTAAATTTGTAAGCGACATGAAAAATTCTTAATTGGTCATGTTTTTGTAGAATGACTGAATAGTTCTATAGTTATAATAGAATGTCACACTCAAACCAACTTACAGAATACTTCACAAAGTTTTATACTTATAATAGAATGTCACACTCAAACCAACTTACAGAATACATCACAAAGTTCTACAGTTATAATAGAATATCACACTCAAACCAACTTACAGAATACTTCACAAAGTTCTACAGTTATAATAGAATGTCACACTCAGACCAACTTACAGAATACATCACAAAGTTCTATAGTTATAATAGAATGTCACACTCAAACCAATTTACAGAATACTTCACAAAGTTCTATAGTTATAAAAGAATGTCACACTCAAACCAACTTACAGAATACTTTAATCGTTCTATAGTTATACATGTAATGGAATGTCACATTAAGACCCTCATACATTCAACCATTGAGATCATTTCTCAAGTGCAATAGTGATATAGAGAATGAAACACTCTAAGAACATACTATCTTCAGTAAGACCACTTTACAAACCAAAGTGATTTACTATAGAGCAAACACTCATACATCCAATCCTGTAAACTCATGTCTTAAAGTGCTAAAGCTACTTGTAATCAATCACATCCAATTTGATATACATTCAATCTTCTTAGGTCATACATTTGTATTGTCTCAAAACTGTGCAGTAGTTATATTTATCAGTTTATAAACAATTTTAGACCTCCATACATTCAATTCAATATGATCATGAAGTGTTATAGCTATATAATTAATTTGACATATCTGAATTCACATACATGTACATTAATCAATCCAGTAAGATCACACATTGCTACAGCTATGTTTATGATATCATTATTGCTCTAAGGTAATAAGCTTAAAGCAAAAGAAAAAAAATCAGTAAGTGCTAGAAATATTAAATGTCATGTATTTATTAATTTAAGGACCGCTGGCAGACTTCAGAGCTTGAGAAGAATTTGTTCCTGGACGGTTTTATTGCCTTTGGGGGTGGGCGTTACCAGTGTCCTGGGAGGTTTGTCTTTCTGTTGTCTGTCCATATCACAATTTATAGATAAAAAGTGCCAAAACTAAGTCAGACATATCACACAATATTTTAAATTAAAGCAACAGTTCACTTCGTACAGTATAAAGCTTGATATTTTTGTAGGTGGTATGCCCAGATGGAGCTACAAATGTTTGTTGCACTGTTTTTGTACAAGTTTGATGTCGAGGTTTTATCAGAGCATATTCCTAAACCTGTGAGCATTGCAAAATATTTAGATTCAATAAAAATTATAAAATCCTAAAAAATTGACTTAGTTTTCTTGTAAAAAAAAAATAAAATAGATGTAATGAAGTGTAAAACTTTTGAGGGATCTGCTTTGTAAAAATGTAGTACCAGGAATTTGTTTTTGCTTTTTATGTATTTGTAATTTTATTTGCATTTTTTCCTCCAGGGTTTTTTTTGTTCAAGTTACAGTTGCCTTTTTTTTACAGAGCCTGAAGCATGTTGTTGGGACACAACAGCCATCAGAACCATTCCTCGTCTCCTACAAAATAAGGACTCCCTAATCCAGGAAGGTACACTGCATGTCAAAACTGAAATTCTTTTTTATTTATTTTTTTTTCATCTCAATAGAAGCATTGCCTCATTTTGTACATTATATACTTATAAAGACAAAAAAATGTACATTCTGTTGATATATTGGATTGAAATAGAATGATTTGTTTTATATAATTTACTTTGCTCATGATTTTTTCATAGTGTTAATTATTAAAGTTATTAAACTACATATTTTTAACATTTCTATACATATATAACAAATTTCATTCACCATTTCAGCTATCATATGGTAGAAATGATTTTGTAGACCAAATGATGTTAATTTAGACACTAAATTTTTATATGAATGTTCAGACTTTTTAAAAGATACTTTTGCCCCATGAGACAATGATAAATTTCTTGCAAGATTCTTTGAAATAAAAATATTTTTTTACTCTTTTTTTTGGACACTATAATAATACATCATGTAATTAGAAATCCACTGGGTTTATCAAACTTGTAAGTACATGGTTCCTTGTATCTTACTAGAATTCCATGACTTTTTCTTCTTGGGGATTAAATATGACTTTAAGATATCTATTATTTCACTTAACACATTTACTTAACTTGGTTTTTTGATATTTCTCAATAATTTCTATGACTACTAGCAAAACTATGAATTTTGAACATTATATACATGTATCAATAACACATTTATTTATCATTTTTGAATTTCCTTTTTAGAATAATATATGCATGAACATTTGTCAATCATTAATATATTTTATATAGTAATTGACGAAGAATTTGTGATATGTACAGTATTCAATAATCTTCACCAATTTATGTCCATCAAATTTCATTTTTCAGCAATAAAGCACGCTATAATTTCATTTAATGATCTCTGAATTTTAAACTCTTCCCTAAACCAACATTAAAACGAATTATAATCAATTTTAGCTTTTTTTTTCAAATAAGTTGCATATTCATTAATGTTTTAATTGCTTGTTTTCCATCACCATGAAATAAAAATTTGACAATCAGTTGAATACTTAATCATTATTTGATTTTTTTTTATTGAAAATATGAAAATATTCATATCTATTCTAATGTTTATTGAATCATTTTTTTTATTTTATTTTTTTTAAAATAGACTTACCGGTAAGCAATAAAACTTGATGAAGAAAAAGTGTTATCTCTTGAAATTAGATAAATACATTTCCACTTTCTCTCATTATTTTTTATGCCCCCGGAATGGAAAATTTCGGGGCATATAGTTTTTCCTGTCTGTCCACAAAAACTTGAATCTTCCAATAACTTTTGAACTGTTAAATTTAGGGCTTTCATATTTCACATGTATTTTCCTTGTGAAAGACCTTTTTTGGGGTACCAACATATTTGACCTCTTATCCTTGACCTTGGAGTTTGACCCACTTTTGCAAAGTTTTACCAAACTTTAACCTTAGCCATAACTTTTGAATGATAGGTCCTAGGACTTTCACATCTGTATTCCTTATGACAAGACTTTCCCTTGGGTGCAAACAAACACATTTAACCTTTTAACCTTGCAACCTGGATATAACTTTTGAACACTTGGTGCTAGGGCTTTCATATTCTTGTGACAAGATCTTTCCTTAAGTACATGTACCAATATTGTTGACCTCATGAACCTGAGCTTGGAGTTTGTCCTACTTTTGAAAAACTTTACCTTGACCATAATTTCTGATGGTTGCTGCAAGGGCTTTCACATTTCACCATGTGTATCTCTTGTGATGAGCCCATTCTTCGGATATATCAATATTTTTTAACTGTTAAATTGAACTTGGAGTTTTACCTGCGTTTGAGAAAGTTTAACCCTTACCATGATTTGCTATACAGGGGCATCAATATTTCACAAACACATTTTGTTTCTTCTCTTTTTGATACTCAGCCTTTCTATATATTGTGCATGTAAGTATACTGTTTCCAAAACCATTGGTTTTCATCATATAAAATTTAAATCCCCTGGCTAAAGATGCCAAGTTTTTAACACCATTTGAATGGATCCACTTGTCTTCTTTTTATTCTCTCTGTTCGAATTCATTCATGTATTTACTACTACTGGTTTTAATACTAGATTTGTTGGTATGACACAAATGTCTAGTCTGCATTCTGTTGGTTGAAATATACTTCTAATTCAAGCATTAATTCTGTTTAAAGCAAGTCAAACGGGTTGAGAAAAAGTTAACAAAAATATTGCAAGTCATCATCTTACAGCATTCTGCACACTAAAATTTAGCTTCAAAAATGTAGCCTTATGGTTTTATGATTTGGTCTTTTATCAACTGTCAAAGACTAAAACATAAAACCATAACGCTACAGTTTTGCAGCTAACTAAAATACACCTCTTAGTCTGCAACAATAGTGTATTTTTTTTTTTTGGAAGGGGGCGGGGGGTATAAAAGGGTATAAAATCTATTTCTTTCAAATTTGGTTACTTTTTAAATTATTTTAAAATGAGTGAGATACGGGTTAGAAATAATATCCGATGATTATAAATAATTAATCCATCATTGTAAAACATCACATCAAAATCCACCTTAATTTTGGATTTATCAATATCGAATTATCTTGACCAACAGATTTGTATGACGTGTGCACATTTTTAGCAACTCTTCAAATCGGAAATGATTTAACAATATGGTATTTATTGAACACAAAATACATATGTTACATCAAAAGTATGTTTTAAAAAATTAAAGATTTTGACACGTTCTTACAAGTTTGAATTGATAAATTTTACATTTGAATGTAACATATCCATCACCATTCATCCAACGACGTACATGAACCACAAGGGAAAAAACCCACACATGTAGATGGTATACGTATATCACGGATAAGAGCTACATATGTAAATGCGAACTGAAAGCTTATCGACCTAAAGAACATCACGGTACCAATGTTAGCATATTTGCACCATACTGAATGCAGAATGTTCCACTGGAAATCTTAATATATCGATTACGTAACAATCAGAGGTTCCACTGATTGATTACATAATATTATCAGTATCACATAAAATTGGCGTTTTAAAGATACGAATATTTTTGGAGGACGTTTTAGATTCTAAATGCGATGAAATTCTAAGTTGGCACAGCTACATGGTCTACATACGATATAATTCTAAGTTGGCACAGCTACATGGTCTACATACGATGAATTTCTAAGATGGCACAGCTACATGGTCTACATACGATGAATTTCTAAGTTGGCACAGCTACATGGTCTGGTGGCAATATTCCAGAATACATATCGTCACGAGATTCATTATCCTTAGGTTTAGAGTCTTCTAAGTCTTGAGCAATTTTTTCATCTAGTTCTTTAACAAATGTCTTAACCCTCTGAGTTAACGTTAGAAATTTGACTTTCGTTTCCTGTATTTGTTTATCTAGTCTTTCTTGACGTTTGTTTGGCATGTTGTCATTGTTTCCATCCATTCCTGTTAACTCTCTCATTTGTCTCAAAGACATCATCACCGGTTTTGACTTTTGCTGGCAAACCATTTTGATTCGGGATTTTGACTCTATTTCTTCCTCAATATCTGACTTGCTTCCTTCCGTTGCCGAAGAATTCTTCCGATTCTGTGCAGTATTCACACCCGATCTTTGTTTCATGTCTTCAGTCTTTTCTCGATTTAGACTTCTTTGCCCAGAAGCGGTACTAGTTTGAGGTTTTGCACTATCTGTAGATTTGTCAGATTTTTTTGATCTTTTTGATAATGTTATTGTTGGAGCAGTCTGTTCCCTCCTGTATTGCTGGCGAATTTTCTTTAAGCAATTGTCCGAGGCAGGTAGCACTGTTGTGTACCAGTCTTCGGGGTATTTTAAAGCACGGTTCTTTTTTCCACCTTCGGATTGATCTTCAGTTTTTGTGTCTTCTGCAGGCGCACGTTTTTCGCGCTTCTTTGCTCGTTCGAATTCTTTTTCACTCACAAATTCCTCGTGTTTACTCGCACTGTGTGCTCTTGTTTTGCTTTTTGGTTTCTCTGTCGGTTCCCGCTCTTCTGATTTGGCGCGTGACTTCTTGAAGTAACTTCCGGTCGTGTGAGGTCTGGTTTTCTTCTCGGGTTTTGGTATTGCACTTGATGTATAATAATTCTCTAGAGTTTGTAGGAACTTCTTGGTCTGTGCAGATGAGGCATCTTTCATAGCCTGCAGGTTGTCAATTTCCCGTTTGAGCTCTTGGATCTCAATGTTTCGTACCATCTCCTGTCTATGCTTGTCTTTATGAAGTTCATCCAAGAACTTAGCGAGACGTTCTGCAAGTCGTTCATTTTCAAAATAGATATTACTATGGTCCACCAAGAGAAGTTGCTCTATTTTACTTTTCTTCTTTCCGCGTTTTCTTAATTCGGATATTGCATCGTTCATGCTGCTGTGCACATACTTTACTGTTTCCTCTTAACTAGAATGAAAGATTAAAAGATTTTTTCAGTGAAAAAAATTAAAATGGAAAGAAATACTTGTATACAATGAAACACTATAATGTAGGCTTCATAATGACATAAAATATCGTAACCCTCGAATGTAATGAATTGTTCTGACTCAGCAGAAAAGCATGAACAAATAAATAAATTGAAAAAAGGAAAAAGTTATAAAAATGCGTGTAAATTTTTCTTGCAGATTTGTTTAATGCGATTTAATATTCTTTTACACATTGACAATTTATCAAATAATCTTTGACCCGAACTACTAGCTATTTTTTTCATTGATGTGTCACTTGTAGCGAGATGACGATAATGAAACAATTTATATGTTTCAATCGCCCATGATTTGGCATATTATTTTTCCGAAAGAGTTTGATGCCCCTTAAGCAAACGACTTGGGTATATCTTTTGTTTACCCCAGGTTTAATGAGATTTGCTAAATTGTCTTTGGGAATATCACCCTGGACCTTTAAATGTTTAGGAGTCGGTGTTAGACTTGATTATGAGATAAGTTTATACATAAGAGGTGTTAGTTTTATGCATATTTTTTGGTCTATACATAATAGTATCTAAACGCCTAACCACAGTGTGTATTTCCGAGATTGCAATCTCTACACATTTTATTTTAAATTCTAACTGGAGAGTGTGGAGTATAATGAGAAAAAAAATGTTAAAATAAGGAAAAGTTACTGTATCGAGAACAAAGATTTTTAGTCTAATTATTCTATTTTTAAACAGATATAACTTTTTCCTACTTTTTATACTCTTAGACCGACCGTCCTATCAAACAACACATTACAATAGATTACATTTAGTGGAATGATATTGTCCGAACATATCTAAACCCAAGTATTTACAATATGTTTCCAATATACAAACAAACAAATTCATGGATTCATTCATGACTTTTTGCAGACCTAATTGGTCTCTTCTAAAGATCAAATAAAAGTATCATTATCAAATAGCAAGACTAATTAAAAATAAGCATTATTATACTAGGCAATCGCTCCGGAGAATGTGAACCACTGAATATTCTGGAGCAAAGCATCTCATCGAATAGAAAAATGCTATTAATTAATAATTTATCAAAATTCGCATCAAGTCATCGAATCATTTGCATCATTTTTGGTCAAAAGTTTTGCAAGATTAATATTCTAAATTGTGTAGGAATTGTAAGTTGTGTTTGGTCGTAAGGTTGTAGACTGTGTAAGAATTATACGGTGTGCTGGCTTATAAGTTATTTGGATTGTTGAATTTAGGATTGTAAATTTTACAGGTTTGTAGATTGCGTATAGGTTGTGCAAGGTTGTAAATTGTGTTTGATTGTAAGTTGAGTACAGTAGGGTTTTATTGTTATGTAGGATTGTAAATATACTGAAAGGAAAAAGAAACGCAGGGTAACATAATATGCGAATTTTTTTTTACTGTATAACCGAAAATTATGAAAATTGGTCAGAGGGATATCTTGGTTACTGTGCATTAAAATCAGTGTTCAGAACTACTCAACCGTGAAATGTTTGACGTCAAATAAGGAAAATAGTAAAAAGTCGAAAGCACGTGCATATCGATGACGACATGTTTTTCAACACATCTCGTAGTACCATTTGCTGCACTTAAGTTATACACATCGTTTTTCGATATTAACATTCGATTTGCATTCCTTGAAATCAAGATACGGTTGACGGAAGTACCATGGGGTCTGGCTATCGCATAGCCTAAGTAAAGACAAAGGCATACAGGTTTATGTGCAGTTTGTTGTGAAGTTTTCCACAATAGAACATCTTACCCGTCCTCAGAGAGGGCGTAGAAAGGTTTCCAACCAACCGTGACGATGACGTTGACGTGTAACAGCACCACGTCAAGATCGGGTTATTCATCCTGCAACCTGTATAATCACCATCACACTACCCTGAAACTGCTTTTAATACAGCAGGCTATCATGATCGTTATATTCACCCCAAAACTGAAGGAAATCGATGGCGATTTTGGTTTGTGAGCTCGTCAACTTTACGTACGTGTTCCTCTAACTTGCGCATGCTTGCTTCGTTTGCCTATTTTTGGGGGGCATGTTAACCCCCATACCAATGCTGCCAGGATTTGTCAACATTTTCTCGCAAACAATCACATCTATCCACTTCACTGGTCTCTGTCAAGTCAATCGTTTTCGCATCAAACGTCTGTGGGACTACGTGGACGAAAGGGACTAAATTTTCCAAGCTGGTCTCAATTAACTAAGGGCTGCCTTCTCGGAAGGGTTGAAAAATATCCCTATTAGAAGGATAAACACACAGATGAACTCCATTCATAGGAGAATCAAGGCTGTGATAGATGTGCGAGGGAGACATGTGAGATAATGAGAATTTTCATTTTTCACTTTTGGCGGCTACCGTCATATGAGTTTCAATAACTCATGAATTATTGGGGAAAATCAAATGAGATTTTGGTAACATTTTTATTAAAGATGATTTTAAATGTAAGGTAGGATAACTGGAAAATACGTCTGAAATATATAACCTTATTTCACCTAAAAGTTTACCCTGCGTTTCTTCTTCCTTTCAGTATAGATTATAAATAATGTAGGATTATTTGAAATGGTTGTAAGTTGTGTAGTATTATAATGTTGTATAGGATTGTAAGTTGTGTAATGTTGTAAGTTGCTCGAGGTTGTAAATTGTGTTGGATTGTAGATTAATTGTGTAGGGTTTTACTGTAACATAGGTTTGTAAGTTGGGTAGGCTTGAAAATGAATTGTACGAAGGTTGTCCGGTAAAATTGTGGACAAGTAGTCTAGAGCAAAAAGTAATCTACACTGCTTTCTAAAATTTTCCCTACTTTTTAATACACTTTTCATCAATATACATAACAAATTTCAAAGAGTTATATGTTCAAATAAACAAAATATGGAATTTTATGTTATGTGTTGTATGTCCTTACGGGCACGGATGATAACGTCAAAATGTCTAAAGCAACGTCACGTTTCATGTTTGCTTAATAATTCCGGGAATTCGTCGCACACACTCAGGTTTCCCTTTATTCCTCAATACACATTAAACAAGAACCAATTTCGCACACATATGGGACCTTATAAAACTTGTAGTAGTAAGTTATGGAAGGTACACTCACTTTTCACTGAACTAAATAGGCAGTCTTTTTTTCGACGGTCTGCCATGATAGCGTCTTTCGTTATTGCATATACTGTAGATTCCTAAATATACGCGAGGTATAAATTACCGCGTAATTACGCGAGAAGAACCGCTCGCGAAATAAAATTACTCGCTTTTATTTTTATGGTGCTTTAATGTATGTAAATCTCTAGATAAATCACCCATTCGCGAATTATTATTCTCGCAATTTGACGCCCTTGGGTCATTTCGCGATAATAAGTACTCGCGTAAAATAAGGAATCTACAGTAATTGAATTTCTGTATGTTTTGATTTACCGGGGAACTCGATCAAAAAGCTTCCGCTTAAAAATGCCCATTCCACTGTATTCTAATGTATAAGTGAAATTTTTATATTTTGTTATCATTTAAAGTCTCTTAAGGCGTCATTACTAAATCAACAAATAACTGAACTGCTTTTCGGTGCTTTTCGTCATCAAATATCACCATTTTTCGTGTGTTGCATTTACTACTTTCCCATTTCAATTACAAAGTCTCGGAAAACTGCCAAAAGTTGAAAAAATTCCTTGAAATTTTCCAAATGATGACATAATAGATAGTGAATTAAAAATATGACAATTTTTACCCAAACCTTACCTATTTAATACTTTTATTTCGAAATAATACTCGCACATTCCCCGATAAAACCCTGATTTTTGGTCGTGCGCCGTAGGACCATACCCTGTGTACACTCGCGTATACATAGTAATAAAATCCTTATGTTTGCCTATAATTAAAAAAAAAATATCTACTTAAATATAATAAATAAACACTTGAGGAAAATTTCAGCTCAGTGCGTGCATTATTTTTCGATAAAAACGCGATGTCCACGATTTTACCGGTCAACCCTCGTAAGTTGTGTAGGATTATAAGTTGCGCACGGATGTGTCGCTCTGTAGGATTGTAAGTTGCTTAGGGATTAAGTTCTCTAGGGTTGTAAGTTGTGTAGGATTGTTAATTATCCGGTATGTAGGATTGTAAATTAAGTAGGGTTGTAAGTAGTATAGGATTGTAAGATGTGAAGAATTGTTTAAAAGTTATAAAGGATTGTAAGGTATATGTATGATTGTAAGTTCTGAATTATTGTCAGTTGTTGTTGTTGGGCTGTAACTTTTGAAAGATTGTAAGTCGTTTAGGTTTTTAAGTTGTGCAGGGGTGTAAATTTTGTAAGGGTGTAAGTTGTGTAGAAATGTAAGTGCGGTTATATGGTGTTCTAGGTTGTGCTTTTATGTTATGGATGCCATTCTAGGAATCGTTGGTAATATTTTGCCTTTGCAATGTGATATTTTTATGCCCCGCCATGAATATGGCCGGGGCATATAGTGTTTGTCATGTCCGTCTTCCGTCCTTCCGTCTGTCTTTCCGTCACACTTTGCGTTTAGCTCTGTTCAAAGCTCAGTTTCAAAGAATCTATCCAAGATATTTTTATCAAACTTCATATGCTGATAGATATTGATGAGAGCTATGCAACTGCATCAACATTTTTTGACCTTGACCTTGCCTTTGACCTTGACCTCACTTTTTTTAAATTAGTGTTTAGCTCAGTTTTAAAGATACCATTCAAGATAGTGTAATCAAACTTCATATGTTGATACATACTGATGTAAGCTATTCAACTGCATCAACATTTTTTGACCTTGACCTTTCTTTTGACCTTGACCTCACTTTTCTTAAATTAGTTTTTAGCTCAGTTTTAATGAAACAATTCAAGATATTTTTAATAAACTTCATATGCTGATACATACTGATGAGAGCTATTCAACTGCATCAATATTTTTAACCTTGACCTTTCCTTTGAACTTGACCTTACTTTT